ACCAAGAGTGAAATGCTGTATGTATCAAACACTAGTCTATGGCCTTCTAATCATCTAAGAGCACAATATGGGACACACTGAAGGAAACACCATGGTGAGGGCACGGGGGCAATGTTCTGTCTTCTAAACTAAAGCACACGATACATCACCAGAAACAGGGTTTCTTCCATACCTTAGTTTCACGACCCATCATGTATTCAAAGAGCACTTTTCTCAAGTACTCAAACTCAGTCGGCTCTCCAAATAGAGAGACATCAGCATGGCACAGATTACCCCCTGTCAAGTACAAGTGATAAAGAAAATCGTTGTCAATAAACTGCTTATCACTTAAAACATTAGACGACTAAAAACAATCAAAAGAATAAATGAGGGAGTAATTTTTGCCTGATGTAATTATGTGGATAAAATCTGGCCAAAGAGGGCAGGCCTGCCTTTGTTTTATGCTGATCAACACACTTCCTAAACTTCAGGTTTTCTGGCATGGACTTTCACTTCAACAGACAATGTCTGTAAGGCCTGCAGTAACCACTCAGGACGGTTTATCTCCCCTAAACAGCTGCAGAATCATCTCCCTTTACTATTCTATCAAGCCTCTTTTGTTCTGTGTAATGTTCTAAAATGATAATCCTTTTACAATGTGAATGAAAGTTAACAGTTTTCAGTTCACAAAGACTTCACTTCAAAATGTGGGACAGATGAAGTTAAGTTTCCTACAACAGCAAATGAACTTCTCTCTTTTATTTGGGTTTTAAACATTTTCATTCAAACAGGAAGTAACGCATGCCAGACTGAATGACTGCTGATAGAAAAACTGTTTATAGATTACGTGTCATCAAAACTCTATTTTGAATTTGAAACGTACAAAGAACGAACATTCAGACGTATTAGAGGAATCCACTTTTATCTGGGAACACAAATGTCTACTCATACTATGACCAGGGCCCTTAGCGCAATGGAGCCAATGTAATTTTGTTTCTAGAAAACATATTTTCCAAAGAAGCACTTCTCTCTGCTCTTTTACATAATTTCCCCAAACATGCTGTCCTGTCCTACATTCTATTTAAAATCTCTTACTACAGTATGCAAAAGCCAAAGGCGTCAAGTCAGCAAGCATTTATTAAGTGCTTCCGAAGGGACACAAATGCTTCTTGGTCAATCTATCTTCGTTTCTGGGTCTTTGCTTTAAATAACCACGGTGCAGATTATTCTCATACAAATAAACATGTTTTGCCAAAAGACAGCATGATAAGACAGGCAGAATGCTGGGCCTGACATAAGAAAAATCTTGCCACTAACAATTCCTAGCAGTCACATAACTATTCTCAGGCTCCGACCACTCCCTAGATCTACTAGGATCTATTGTGCCTCCTCCTAATGAAAGCACAAGCTTTTTATTGTTTTCAAGTGTTTAGTCTCAAAAAGCCCACCCAGTGCTTCAAGTAACAGAATGTTAGAATCTCAGAAGTAAAATGGAAGCCATCAGGTCTAATGCATGCCTGAATAAGAATTCTGAATTGCATATGAATGTAGTCGAATGCTATTGTACCACAAAATGATGAAGGGGACAATTTCAGGGAAACCTGGGAAGACCTGTATGAACTAAAGTGAGCAGAAGCAGAACTATTTACAAAACAACAACACTGTTAAACCAAGCAACTCTGGAAGCAGTGATTAAATAGCTATCCATGAATCCAGAGGACTGACGAGGAAGTATGCTACAATGGATCCAAGAGTGTAAAATCTCTCTCTCTCTCTCACACATACACACACACCACACACACACAAATGTACCCATGCACACACACATACATATACATATATTTTTTGACATGGTCAACGAAGGATTTTGTTTTGCTCGAGTCACTCTGTATTTGTTATAAGAATTCTGGTTTGTTTGTTCTTCCAATGAGAGGAGTATAAGAGAGAAAAAATTAGTTTTTGTTCATTGAAAAAAAAATTAAAATTTACTTTTAAAAAAGCAATGAAGAAAATTTCTTCCTTTACTCTTTTTAATTTGACCAATTTAAGAAACAATCTCTAAGAATAACAATGGCATAAAGTCTGTAGATAGACCAGATCAAAAAAGAAAATACTTGGGAGAATCTATCACAGCAAAACCTTGATTACCTTATGTCTCCATAACCTGAGAGACATCTTAGTCTACATACTACCAATCCCACTTCATCAAAGTTAGCTTAGCCACGTGCACAGGCTAACAAAGGCACAGACTGGCCTAAGAAACATGACAAAGAAGCTTAGCATCAAGTAACCCCAGTAGATGAAAGGTTCTTCATATCAAACGTTGGGCTGTATTTCAACTACACCAGAAGGACTCATTTTGCTGTATCCTCTCATATAATTGGTTTGAGGCACAAATTGGCAGACCTCTCTTTCTTCCAAAGGCAGAGGAGTCAATAATTTCTTGACTTCCCTTACTGATAATTTCATCCTTGAAAGGGTTGAGGGGGGAAAAAAAAAAAAGAGGAAATTCTGTTATAGATATGATTCCTGCATCCAGCCCAGAACTCACAACAATCATCCCGGGCAGTAACTCCTATGGAAGAGGGCTCCACCACCCCACTAGCTGCCACACACAGGGCAAGGAAACCAACCGAGCTGAAGCAGCTAGGAACCCTGAGGGAGATAGGAGACAGCATATGCCAGCCTTCAGACCCCGAACCCAAGAGCCTAGGAGCAGGAACACTGACTAACAGCACTAAAGAAGACGCAGTACCATCTAAATCCTGCTGTGCCTTAAGGACCACGGGACTTTTCCAGTTAACTCGTAGCTGAAACCTTCCCTCCATGCTATCTCCACCATCAGAATGTAAGCTCCTTGAGAGCAGGGACTGCCTCCTCAGCACTCTCATCTGCAAAATGAGGGGGATGGCATGTACCGCCCAGGGGTGTTGAGGATAAAGATCAGACGGTATCTATGAAGCACTCGACGAACCATGAAGTGCTACACCAGTGTTGGCCACTACATTATTACTAGCCGAACTGCTCCACTTGCTGCTGCCTAAACTTAGGTTTCCATCTCCAGATGCCATGACTTTGCACAAGCTGTGCCGCAGGCCCAGAACATACTCTTTCCTTTCTCTCGGACAATGCCTGGTTTCCCTCAGCTCCTACAGGAAGCTCTGCCTGATCCTGCTAGGTGGCAGTCAACTCCACAAGCATTGATGGAGCCTCTAAGACAAACCAGGCCGGAGTGCCGTGCTGAGGATACAAAGGAAGCCAAAAGCAGGGGCCTTGTTCTCAATCTCAAAGACCTACACAGAAGAAACAAGAGATAACTGAGGGGATCAGGAAAAGCTTCTTGTGAAAGGTGGAACTTTAGCTGAGACTGAAAGAAAGGAGAAAGCCAGGAGGCAGAGATGCCAAGGGAAAGAATTCCAGGCCTGGGGCAAGAGCCAGAGGACATGCTGGAGTGAGGAGATGAAGGCTGTGTGTAAGGACCCACTAACGAGCTAATCTAGACACAAGCTTCTATTACCTATGTTCTGTCGAATAACATTAATTTGGGAGCTGGATTTCTGCCTTAATGAGTAAAAACTGACAAAGAAGGAGAACTTGTTAAAACCGGTAACTACAAACGAGGCCAATGTCACACAGCACTGTAAATGGCCTCTGGGACGTACCCATCATCCCAAGGTTTTTTAAACAAAAAGACCAACAGAACTAACAAGACCCCTTGAAATCCGTTAGTGATACAAACAGAAAACAGAAGCAATGCCTGTCCTCAAGATGTTTACGTTCTTTTTTTCAAAAAAAAAATTTATTAGGGGCAGCTAGGTGGCAGAGTGGATAAAGCACTGGCCCTGAAGTCAGGAGGACCTGAGTTCAAATCTGGCCTCAGACCAAACACTTGACACTTACTAGCTGTGTGACCCTGGGCAAGTCACTTAACCCCAACTGCCTTTTAAAAAAGATTTATTTTTCCCCAATTACATGTTAAAACAATTTTTAAAAATATTTTTTAAAGTTCTGAGAGTCTATACAATATTGTTCCCTCTCTCTGTCCGCTCCCCATTCCCTGAGATGGTAAGCAATCCAATATATGTTATACATGTGCAGCCATGTAAAACGTTACCATATTATTCATTTGGTACAAGAAGACTCAAAAAAAAAAAAGGAAAGAAAGAAAAGTGAAAAATAGTCTGCTTCAGTCTGTATTCAGACAATACCGACATCAGTTCTTTCTCTGTAGGTGGATGCAAGTCTCGAGCTGCTGACATTCTAATGCAGGAAATCATGTGGTATATATGGGATACACACAAATCATCTCACAAAGGTAATCTCAGAGGGAAGGCTTTGAAGTGTCTCAAACAGCAAGTCAGCCAGAATGGCTACCTCACAAATGTGTGGAGGGGTAACATGCAAGAAGACTGGAGTGAAAAGAAGGGACAGGTGGTGTGGCCCTCTACATGCTAAATGCAGGGGGAACAGAGAGTCAACGAAAGCTAGATCAGAGTGCAGCAAGCCCCGAGGCCAGTGGCCCAGCCAGCAGGCTACTGCTGATTTTCTGGGTAAAAGGTGATGAAGGCCAGAACTAAAGGGATGGCTCCATGAGTGGAGAGGACAGATTTTAATTGAAATGATTTCTCTCTCCTTTCTCTTATTCTCAAATCAGAAGGAATTGTGGAGCTTTCAAAACCACAGAAGAATGTTAAGTATCTGTGACTCATGTCACAAAAAACTGTATTTGAGAAAACAAAGGTTGGGTTTTTTTTTTTAACTTTTCAGCTACTTTTCATGAAGCCTAAGAATTTAAAAAGTAACTAGCCACCTACTGGACCTAGCGGTGACGACACCAAAAGATTCACCCAGCCACACTGAGCCTGGTACTGTAGCTACTTAACTCAAAAGGAAGTACTATCTCCAAATCACAGCAGATGGAATCTAAGGCTTACTTTAAGAAATTATGTTTATTTAACACTTAGGAAAAAAGAAACTGTTTTTTATTTAATGCCTAATAAAAAATGAGCTGTTATCCTCACCTTGGTAAGGCATCCCCACTGTTGTAACATACATGTTCTTCTCATACTTCTTTAAACGGTCTTCTAATGTATGAATCTAGAAATAATCAACAAAATAGATGAAAAAAATATGAAGAGAAATGAGAGCTCTGTCTAAAAGTCGCAGTGGCTGTATAAATTAGGATTACAACAAGACTGCCAAGTTCTGGAGAAGTCCATTAAAGTTAACGTTAGTTACAACAATCTACAACAGGCAAGGGTGAGGACTGGGGACTACAAGAAGAGTGTTCCAAAAGCACTTCTCAGAACAGAGCTCCCGTGCCAGAGAGTCACTAGGGAAGGCCAAAAATATTGTGGAAGCCAAAACACAGAGAGGGTGGTGGTTAATGCCAACGGGAACAGAAGAAAACTAAGGAAGAGGAGGACATGGACAAATCTCTGCAAGTGTCTGCTGAAAACTCGATGCACTTGAGAGACACTTCTAAAGGTTAAGCATAGCTACTCACCCTGTAGCTTTCTTTGGCTACACATAAGTCTTAATACTTAGTACATATGTATAAAAAATGAATTCACCAATAGAAAAATTAACTTCAACTGTCTCATTTTTTACTTTATGAGCCAAAAAAATAAAAATTCTTCTGAGAATTGAACCTTGTAACAAGTAACATAAGCTCAATATTGTATCCAAAGATAAATGACCCTCAAGCACTAAAAACAGGCTCTCGTCAGTTATGTATAATTAAAGGACCAAACAGGAGACTTAAATATTATCTTAATCTCAAAATTAAGATATCAAATTTACATTAATCATAGAAAATGATTTTTTATTAAAAAAATGTAATCATTCTGACTCAGAAATAAAACTCATACTGTAGTTCAAAAAAATTACACGGCCAACTGTTAATCAGCAAAATTAAATTCTAGCTAAATGAAAGCCAAGTTTAGATGTTCAATATTCAAAATAAGAAGCATTATAGATAACTTTTTCCCCCATTTTGGAGATGGGTCTCCATACCCTAGTCAAGCTAATAGAACAGATCTGTCTGGAGCCTTCGAGCCTAGGTCCCTTTGCCCCTCCTTAGGCAGCCAAGGAGTACTTACCCTCCCACCCTCACCCCAGCCCTGCTCCCTCGAGCTCACCATACCAACACAGGCTTAGCATGGACACATCAAGTGAGCAGCCTGCCTCTGCTTTCACAGGAGCCAGGATTCCAGATGGGAATGAGTGTGTGTTTGCCTGCACAACCACACCCTACTATAAATTCCTCTTATACAAATCTAAGCCTCCCTCTCACCTGCTCTCTGAACTCCTGCTCTTTCAGCTTGGAATCATTGACAAGAGTAGTTTTCTGGGCCAGCTGGGTCTGAAAGAACAAAAAAGGGACTTTTCAAACAAACAACCTTTTCATTAATACAGGGACATATTTCAAGCTACTAGGGAGCCTGTTCTGGTTAATAACAGCCTCTTCCTGGCCCAGTTACAACACAAAACTCTCCTGAAAAGGTAGTTCGATAAAAGATTCAATAAAAGTACCGAATATATAAAAATATGTTGATATATAAAAGATAAAAGATTCGATAAAAGTATCGAATCTAAGCCAATGAAATTCAGCACTTACCTGGAGATCCATTATTGTTACCTGAAAAAAGGAAAAAAGAGAAAAAGGTAACATTCCTGCTTGAAACAAGCATCAAAGATGGCAGATGTGAAAACGCCAAGAATTAACAGGCCAAGGTTCTAGTTGTTGAATCAGTTATTAATTCTGAAGAAGACAATGTAAAATCATGTTTAAAAAACCTTCTCAAATTTTCTTCAAAATGCTTATTTCTGTACAAATATTCAGGTCCTCTAAGGATTTTAATGCAATATTTCTGTTTATTCTAATTCCCTCTCAAACCTCTCAATGACAACAAGTAAAATAAATTTTTTTAACACATTGCATTAGAATCATGGTACAACTAGGCTAAGAATAAATGCCAACAGCTGGGGTGGAGATGAGATTTGGAGGTGAATAAATCTAAAAAGTAAAGAAATAAAATGACAATAAATGTTGCAGATTATGACCAAAAAGGCAGCTAGGTGGCACAGTGGATATAGAAGACCAGGCCTGAAGTCAGGAAGACCTGAGTTCAAATCTAGCCTCAGACACTTCCTAGCTGTGAGACCTTGGAAAAGTCACTTAACCCTGTTTGCTTCAGTTTCCTCATCTATAAAATGAGCTGGACAAGAACACAGGAAACCACTCCAGTATCTCTGCCAAGAAAACCCCAAAACAGGGTCACAGAGAGTCGGACACGTGTTAACACTAGTGACCAACAACAAAAAGAGACTGCAAAAAAACCACAAATACAAATAGTCTGCTTTAACTAGAACAGCATTAGAATCTAAAAGTATACCCCAAAAGCCTCAGGGAGGCAAGAAACCCTCTCAATGTCCAACATCCACTATACCCTCCAGAGAAAGCCTGAGGTAACGCTATGCTTGTGGACAAGGTGGGGAAACAGGGGCTGGAAGACAGTACAGTTAAGTGATTACAAAACTGGGCAATGACTGGACTGATCAACCTGAAGGGAGGTGTCTCTGGGAGAGAGGTCCATGTGTTTTTAACACTTTTATCACGACATGAACGTAGGCCAAAATGAAGCTGAGAGGAAGTCCTGGGAGAAATGGGAACATTCCAAATGCAAAAAGAACAGCCCTTAATCAGTTTTTGTGTCATGGCTCCTTTGGCAGGCTAGGGGAAACTACTGGACCCCTTCTCTGAGTAATTTTTTTTAAATAGTGAAAATAAAATATATAGAATCCAAAGGAAACCAATTATAAAGACACATAACGATCAAAATATCTAAAAAAAAAAAACCACAGACCTCAGGTGAAGAACTTCCAGCTAGCAAAAAAGCTATTTACCCAGTGATATCACTGCTAGATCTATATGCTAAAGTGATATTCAAAAAAAAAAAAAAGGAAAAGGAACCACGTGTACAAAAACATGACTGTTCTCTTTAAGGTGGCAAAGAGCTGGAAACTGAAGCACTGCCCATCCACCGGGGGACGGCTGAACAAGCGGTGGAATACGAACGCAAGGGAACACTAGTGTGCTAGAAGAAATCACGTGGGGAGGGCTTTCAGAAAAACTAAGGAAGACTCGTATGAACTCATGCAACAGCGAGTGAGCAGATGCAGGGAAATCACTGATGCGATAACAACAGTATTAGAAAGACAAACAACTCTAAAAAACTTAGGGCCTCTGATCAACACAATGACCACTCATAATTCCAGAAGACTGGGGATGAAACATGCTACCCACCTCCTGATAGAGAGGTGATGGACTCAGAGTACAGACTGAGACATGTTATTTTGTCCTGAATATAATCAATGTGGGTATTTGTTTTGCTTTACTATATGTTTGTAACAGGTTTTGTTTTTCTTGCTTTCTCAAAGACGGATTGAAGGAAGGTGGAAGGGAGAGAATATGGACCTGAAAATCAAATAAAATCAAATAAAAAAACAAAAAAAAATTCTGATAAAAATGGGGGGAAATCCCTGACTACAACAATGGGCCAAATCCAATCCAATCCAATCCAATTTTAAAGGAACAAGTATAAAAAGTCTCAGAAGAAATCAACTGGACAGCACAGGATCAGGAGGGCCTAGACCACAGCTCGTGACATAAAACAAAAACAAACCATCCAGAGACCTCAGTGGCCCAAAAGCTCAACAGAAACAGTGGCCACTTGGTGGCACAGTAGGTAAGAGTATATGGCCCCGGACGACTCACTCGACCTCTGTCTCCCTCAGCTTCCTCATCTCTCAGAGCATCGTGAGGCTCAAATGAGATCGTATTATAAGCGCTTAATTAGGGCAGTGCCTGGCACAAAGCCAACACTTAATAAATGCTCATTCCACCCCCCACCCCCTGCACATGAGTCAAAAGCGCGGCATGTTACCAGCCAAGAAAACTAATGTAGAAACCTAATGTCCAGAATGGCAGAGGTGAGAGTCTCCCTCTGCCCTTCCCTCACAAGACCAGCCCTGAAGAGCGAGGCTCCCCTGCCCATTCACGCAGGCCCCACTCCCGTTCTCCCCGGGCACTGGCTGTCTATCTTTCCTCGGCTCTGTGGGCACCATCTTCTCTGCTCTGACACCCACACTTGGGGTACATTCTATCCCAAGCCCAGGACTCTAAGCTCCCCAGGAGCCTCATTATGCATCTCTGCCTGCCTTGCCCTGTCCCATGCTTTTCACAAAGCAGACACTGAGGAAATGGGGGTTTCCTCACTTTCTCACTGCTCGGATTCTCCTCTTCTTCATGGAGTCGATGCTGGTATTCCTTTTGTAGCTGTTCCAGCTGTGTTTGTAGTTCAACAACTTTAGCAGTCATTTCTTCTTCTCGTGCCTTTGAGATTAAAAAAACTTAATTAACAAGATACATCAAACAACATGACTATTTAAGCACGCAGCAATCCTACATGAGCAAAATGGTAGCAATCAAATCACCGTTCTGCTCATTCCAATGACAGCTACTAAGGCTGACTCAAAAAGCACTCTGCTTAGAATCATTCTGTTTAAGAAGTCTGAAGACTCCTTCCTACTTAACAAACGAGGAAAATGAGGCCCAGACCCGGAGCTATGGGATCCATGTATCTCTGCACCTGCCTTGGGGCTTGGCCCACAGCCTTAAACAATGCTTGATGATGGATTCAAACTCCTTAGTAGGCTGAAGCCATAGAAGAATCCAATCGAAATTTTGGAATCTGTCTTGTACAAAAGTCTTCATTTGAACAGTTACTGGAACAAAAGCATCTTAGAAAGTGACCCTATAACTTTATCTTTGATTGGGAGGAAATAAACTTAACTTAAGCTAAAAGAAGCAAACAAAAACAGGGTTACATCAAGGATTTCTTCATATCTTTTGGCTGTTCTTTTTAAATCTTCTTCTTTATCTGCAATTCTTTTATGCAGATGATTCGTTTCTGCTTGGTGGCTTTCTAAGAGCTCTGCTTCCACTTCTTGGGCCTTACCTGACAAACACAAGAGAAGAGGGCAGAGGAAAAGGCATTAGACAGGGAGAGAGTGCTCTAGTCCAGCTTGGGGGGGGGGGGGCCTTCTCAGCTGGGCTTAATGAATTTATCAGCATCACATGAAAGAAACAGTATTTGTACATATACATCATTTGTGTATGCAATTATATAAATATATGAAAGTGCAAGTACATACACGTATACACAACACACGAGCACACAGGCCACCACACACACCCAGAGCTGACAGCACAGCTCATTTGTTAAACACGACCAGGAAACACAACAGAACACCACACTATGCACTGCCTCACAAAACTGTGAAAATCAGTACATTCCAACTTTTTTTTTTTGCTTTTTTTAGTGAGGCAATTGGGGCTAAGTGACTTGCCGACAGTCACACAGCTAGTAAGTGTCAAGTGTCTGAGGCCGGATTTGAACTCAGGTCCTCCTGACTCCAAGGCCAGAGCTCTACCCACTGTGCCACCTAGCTGCCCCTACATTCCAACTTCTGGTGTGTGTCAGCTTCAATGTTTTATTTTCCCCTACTTCTGACTCCTACAAAGGCTTGTTGGAATTTTAAGCTAAATCACACACACACACCCTTACCCACCCCGGCCACTTGTCAGATGACTAGGGTAAGGACGGTCTTTTCCTGGACAATACTTTACACTTATTGCACTTTCCCTTTCTCTCCTAATGATAAAGAGACCCAGTTCCCAGGCAACACTGCTTCAACCCCACTAAATCCTAGGTAAAGAACGTGTTGGGTTGTTTCGGTTTTTTTAAAAGTACTTTGCACAGTGACAACAGGACTGGAGCTTAAATCTTACACTCTGTTCGGATGACTCCAGTCTCTCTGGTGACGAATGTGTACTTTACTTACTGATGGTCTCTTTGATTGTGGCTTCCAGCTCTTGCTCCTTCTGAGCCAGCTGGGTGTTAAACTCCCTCATCAGCTGTTTTAGCTTGGAGTTATGCCTCAGCTCACTGTCTTCCTGTTCCATCCTGTACAACAAAATTTTACAATCAAATGACTTCACATAAAGAAAACAGAATCACTTAACTAATCATCACCTTATAGGAAAGAGAAATGTCACTTTTCCCTTAAACATGGAACACTCCTTAAATTTCTACTTTGCAACAATTAACATGATATTTTAAAACTCCAGATATACAACTAAACAGGAGTCGTAAGCAGATCTGATTCTACAAGGAGGCTTTTCGGTCGTACCCGCAGCCACCTTAGACTCGCCGTTCCCTTGTACCCGCCCCCTGCAGCTCCCTGAGTCAAGGCCCAGATCCCCTTTGCCCTGGACTCTGGCAGCAGCCCACCCCTACTCCCCATCCCACCACCACCAGGTCTCCTCTCCAGGGCCCCTGCTCCGCTCCACTACCCCCAGAGCAGCCAAATGAATATTTGGTGTACCCACGTCACTTCCCCATTCAACAGCTCCCTCCTGCTCCTGGGTTAAAATGATAACATGGCACGGTATTTCAGACCTCGCAGGTTGGTTCCACTGACCTCTCAGTGGGCTGGCCACTTCCCTTTTCCAATCCTCTCCTGAACCCTCCCGGCTACTACGTTCTCTCTGTTTGCTGATTACTCTTGGGGTAGAAGCAAGGCATGCCTAGCGGATCTCTGCACCCAGGAGGCACGTCATGTTTGCTGACTTTCAGGGCACGAACAACACTTACTTCATTTTCTTTTCCATTTCTTCTTCACATTCTTTCTTGGTTATTTCCAACTCTTGCTGATGCTCCTTCCTCAGAGTCCGCAAATCCCTCTGCAAGCGATTCACCTCCTTGCGCAGCCGCTGTCTGTCCCGCTCGGCCTCCTCTAATTCAGACCTCAGGTCCTCCAGCTGGCTCTGCGTGCCAGGGAGCGCTTGGGCCTGGGCTGCATGGACCTCCGTGCTGCTTCTACCGCTGTACCCTACGACTTCCACAGGCTCCGCTTTCTCCCCCAGCTGCTGCTGGGAAGCCTCGAAGGGTCCGGGGCTGGACGTCAGCAGCCCTGCTCCAGCTCTGGCTTCTTCCCTCTCCTTTCTCTCTTCTAACATCCGGCCCGTTCGGCCCTTCTCCGGGAGGATCTTCTGGACCGCTACGATGTCAGTCTCCAAGTCCGGCTCCTCCTGCTGCCTTTTCTCCACCTGTTCCCACTCTGTCAGACACTCCTGCATCCCAGCCTTAGGTCCTTCCTCACTGCCGGCTTGTCCCATGGGCTCTGTGGAGGAGGCTGCCGCGGCCGAGGCCTCTCCTTCTTGCTCTGATGCCTGCCTGCCCACGGACCCGAGCTGCTCACGAAGCTGCTGAACCTCACGCTCTCGCTCCTGCAGCTGCTGGGTCATCGCCGTCACTTGGCTGTCTGCTTCCCTCTTGTGCTGCTCTTCCTTTTCTTCCATTTGGGACAGCAGCTGCTTCTTGATGGTGGCGATCTTTTGCTCCGCCTTCTTCTTCAATTCCGCCAGCTTCGTGGCACTCTCTGCCTCCAGTTGTTCCCGCAGTGCCTTTAACTCGTCCGCCCCGCTTCTGCCGCTGGATGCGACGGCGCGCTGCATGTCCGTCTGCTGAGCCTCCAGCTCGGACCGCACGGAATCCATCTGCTTCTGGAGCCGCAACAGCCGCTCTTCCGCCTGCTCACGGGCATGCCGCAGCTGCTCTTCGCTCTCACGGTGTCGCTGAAGTTCTTCTGCCAAGCACGTGTTTTCTGTTGTTTTCTGGGTAACACATTCCTCTAGCTCTGCAACTCTTGCCGACTGGACGTTTAACTCAGCTAGCACATCACACTCATGTTTCTCCTTCTTACTCTCCCTCTCTTGGAGCTCACTTTTCCAACTTTTAAAACTTTCTTTTTCCTGATCAAGATTCTCCCTTAATGAATGTATCTGTTCATCTTTTTCACTAGATTCCTTTGTTTTTCGCTCCAATTGCATCTGTAAGTCTTTAACAGCATTCTGATTCTGTGTAAACTTCGACTGTGCTTTCTTCTTCCACTCAGAGAATTTATTCATCCAGTGATCTACCTGTTCGAGAGCTGACGCTTTCTCCTTGCTCAAGGTGTCAACTGTCGAGGACAGCTCTTGGACTCGGAGAAGCAGTTCCCGTTGGGCCTCCTCTTTTTCTGTCAGGCTCACGCTGTTCTGAAGTTGAACAGTCAGGTCCCGCACATGCTCGTGAAGGCTGCTGATTTCAGATTTCTTTTCTTGCAGCTCCTCTTTCATCAGGGTGACAGCATTGATGTTCTCAGCTAACTCCTTCTTTAGTTGAGTGATACAAGATTCCTTTTCAGAGGCAGCCTCCTGCTGATGTCCTCCTTCTTTCTGCAGTGCTTCCTTTTCTGTGACGAGGCCTTCAATGTCAGCTCTCATGCTTTTAATTTGATTTTCTTTTTCTTCCAACTGATGAACTGAATGTTGTAAAGAATTACTTAATACATGTTGTTGTTCTGTTGCCTGTCTAAGCTTTGCTTCTAGTTCAGGGATTTTATGAGTCTGGATTAATATTGCTTCTTTCACTTTACTTGTCTGAAGCTGGCAATAAGAAACCCTAGAAAGAGCAGCCTCGATTTTACTGTTACTCCTCTCCATCAGTTCACTGGCTTTGGTCTGCAGTAAGGCTTCGGCTTCCTGGCAGCACGTGTGCAGTTGTGCTGCTAGCTGTTCAGACAGTTTCTGAAAGTGCAAGTAGTCGGCCTCTACTTTCTTCTCATACCCTTCACGTGAAGATTTCAAAGCCTGAAGTTGCTCTTCAGTAGTTTTCAACTTCTCAGTCACGTCCATAAACTTCTGCTTATCTTTTTCTTCCAGGGTCTTCAACTCACTTATCTGGTGGTGGAGAGCAGCTCTTTCAGCCTGCAACGTTTCCAGCCGAGCTCTCATGTCCGTTCCATCCTGCGTGAGCGTCGTGACCTGCTCCGCTTTCTGCTTCAGCTGCTTCTCTAACTGCTCCAGCAACGCGCCCTGCTTTGTGCCCGCCTCCCGCAGCAAGGCCACCTCTCTGCCGGCCAGCTCTCTGTCAGCCCTGACGGCCGCCATCTCCTGCTTGAGCTCAGCCACTTCTCGCTCCTTCTCCTGCAGCTCCCGCTCGTGCTTCTCCTGCAGCTCCTCGGCTTGCCGGATGACCTTCTTCTCCCAGCTGACCACCATGTCACTGAGTTCTTGCTGATGGGCTGCTGTGAGACTCTGCACTTGCTCCTGCTGGCTCTTCTTCAGTTCTGAAATCGCATCATTCATTCCTGCAGAACTAGCCTGGGCCATCTCCAGCAGTTTTGTATTCAACTGTTTTTCTTTCTGGCTGAACTCTAAGTGTGTGTTTTCAAGCTCTTTTTTCAGCTTCGCTTCCTGATCTGACAGTTTCTTCTTGAAGGTTTCTTGCACTTCCTTTGCTTTCTGTTTGACTTTTTCCATCTTGATTTCTTGATTCTTTAATTTGTTTTCATAGTCTTTTTCCAAAGCCTTAATGCTCTCTTCCTTGGCTAACAGTCTTTGCCTGAAATTCTCTATTTCCTGGTTCTGTAGTTCTTTCATGTGCAAAATTTCATTTTCCCTTTCAATCAAGCTTTGCTTGGTCTGTTCCTGTCCTGTACTAAGATCTTTCAGTTGAGACTCATATTGATCGGTCAGAGAACGTAGCTTCTGATCCATTTCATTCCTGTGTTTCTCCAGCTGCAGCATTAAGCCTCGCACCTGGGTTTTGTAAGAATCCAGTTCTGCATTGAGATGATTCTTTTGCACATCAGCCTCTGCTGCCTGTTTTTCAAGGCAATCTTTCTCAGCTTCCACATCAGCCCATTTCTGCTGCAGTTCAGTCAGCTGCCTTTCATAGGCTTTAACTTGCTCATTTGAGTTATTCTGGTGGGACTGAAAAACATCTATCTTATCTGATGCCTGTTTAAGCTCAGTTTTGGCTCTTTGAATAGATTCCTCCAATTTCTGCTGCTGTGCTTGCTGCTCTTCCAAACGGCGCTCCTTCTCCTTCAGCAGAAGCCCAACGTGACTGAGTTCCTCTTTCACTGCCTTCTCGACGTCCTGGGCAGATCGCTTCTGCTCTTCAAGCATCACGTCGACTTGCTGCTGGTGCTGAATTCTCTGCTCCTCCAGCTTCGCCTCAAGCTCTCGCTTTACTTGATCTTTCTCCCTCTTCAAGACAGAGAGCTCTTTTTCCAGATTCTGTCGAATTTTCAATGTTTCGGACAACTCTGAAGATAATGCTTCTAACTCTGTTTGCTTCACATCAAGCTTTTCTAGTGTCTTCTCATTCATCTCTTCTATGTGCCCACGGAACACGGTCTCCTTCTCTTTCAACAACGCCTCTTGTTCTTGCTTATATTTCTCCCTGAGCTTCTCGACTTCAGTCTGGTGATGCTGCTTTAGGACTTGAAGTCTCTCTGTCCAAAGCTGCTCCTGCTGCTTCTGCAAACTTTCTAACTCTGCTTTATGGCTTTCGACCATGACTGTGATCTCTGTATTGTGCTTGTTTCTCTCAGATTCCATCTGGAAGGACATCTCTTCTACCTGATTCTTGCTATCTTGAGAGCACTTGACCAGGGAGCTTTCCAGCTCCAGGACTCTCTATAAATAAGAGAATGCATGTATTTTAATTGAGGCACATATTGACATATTGACTAGCATGACTAATACTGACATGATATTTACAAACTGCTTGGACAGAAGAGATTGATGAGAAAAGAGCAATTTTGCCTATCAAATCAGACCCCAGGAAGAATGTCATACCTCCTTTATTGCTAATTTTACAAAGAAACCGTAAAACAAAAAGGCAAAAAGTTTCCTCCCTAAATTTAATTCATAATATTTATCACAGGTGGGAGAAAGCTATTACCATAACTTTTCAGACATAGATACTTTAAAAGGAATGTGTCTGACTTTTGCCAACTAATGTATTTAGGGCCATTTCTATGAAAGCAAAGACATAAAGGAAATGTCATAGTGATGAAAAGTAATAAATCTGCAACAATTTTGTTTAAACAGACACATAGTCAGCTTCTAAAGGCAGTCATCAATACATACACAGGACAGAAAAGACAACTAAATATTAATGAATCATCTGATGTGGGGCACACCCACGTGAGATAATGGAATTGTATCACCCATTAAAAACAAACAGCGGTATCAAATTTACACCAAATGAAACACATTCACTAATAAGTTAGTGAAAAAAATTATTGTTTCTATTTTAACAATATATGAATGGATACACGGCACTAGAACCATAATATTTCAGAACCAGGAGGAAGCATGGTCTACAGACCATGCTTTAGTATGTAATCTATGGCCCACAGGACAAGAAACCTCTTTTCATACAGTCTGCAACGTTAAGAATGATTTTTACATTTTTTAAAATCAAAAACAGGCATTGAGGGCCTGATATGGCCCACAGGTTGTAGTGTGCCAACCCCTATTATAGCCATTACTTAGAACAACATGCTCATTTTACCTAGAAACACTAAAATGACTTGCCCAAAGATATATCCCTAGTACTTTTTTTTTCACTCACAGTTCTATAGGTCTCTGCTTCTTGCTGTAGGTCTCGAAGCTTATTTTCACTTTCTAACAGTAAAGCTTTTTTCTGCAATTCTAATTCTTCAAGAGCTAAGGATTCTTGTTGCTCTTTTTCTCGCGCAGTCTTCAAATACTCTGTTTGATTATTTTCCTGTGATAAAAAATGATCAATACTTCATCGTGGTCATGATAATCACAAGTCAGAATAAAAAAATCAAACCTCATTAATGTGGAAGACAAGAACTTGGCTGGCTTGTAGAAACTACGTAGTATAGAATATTCTGAAATACAATTACTTTAAAGTAGCTAGAACTGGTCTGACCTAGAGCTTCAACAACATGAAACATTTACAAGCACCCAGTGTAATAAGGGCTGTCTTTTCAATTTATACCGACACTGCTTATATGTCAATAGTCACCTCTACCACGCAGGAAAACAATTTTCCTAAATAGGCTGACACTTCCTTTGTGATCCTACTCAAATTGTTAACTGGGGTGGTAAGTAGTTTTCATTTGCTTAGTAAGGCCCTTTTTCCATTAGGAATCAGAATCTGAAGCCAGATACTGTCCCAATTATCACAGATTCCAAATTAGTGAAATCCAAATTAATGAGGGTTTAAAGCACAACAAAATAACTACCAATTAAGAGAGGAGAGATAATGGCATATACCTCAAGTACTTTTTAAGAACCCAATAACTGCTGACAATGGAAAAAAAAGAATGATGACCACTGGTAATCCTTATAAACAATAAACAGAAAAATTAACTTACTTTTCCTTCCATGTTCTACTTTGCTGAAACAAGGAAAGAGAGCCTGTTTTAGCTAATCTTTCTCTGGCAGAATCACTGTTAACATGAAGAGGACCAACACAGTCCTAAGATCACAGCTCATTCATAAATTCTTCCTGCTCGCATAGCTGCTGTCCAATAAATTAAGTGGTTTTCAAAAATATGTCGATAGAAAGTAAGCTCATTGGCATGGACGTTCCTTGCAAAGGGAATCACAACACAGCGATGCCCACTCAGCCCAGGGGACTCTTATCTCCTTTCTCCTGCAGATCACAGGGAATCCACCAAACACGTTAAATGCTTCCTCTAAAGTTCTTAAACACCAAGGTGTCAATGAAGCATGAGGCCATCCCCCTCTGCTATCCCTTATTTATACGATGGGCCAGCCTCCTTTATCTGGTCACACGCTCTTCCTGAAGAATATTCCCAACACCATTGCTTAAGCATTGGTCATCCTAGAGACACCAGATTTCACTCCCATCATCATCTTTCCACTGTCTTCTGGGCCACCTGCAACTTTAATTCCTTAGGGACTATGGTTTTCTAAGATACACAACTGTAGAAGGTTGCTGAGAATATTTATACAAAAAAAAAAAATGGAAGATTGCACCAGGGAATACACCTTGAGATCACTAAATGATCCCAGTATTTTAATGACCCCAAAATTCACTCTCAAAGGTCACATGGTGCTTTAGAGTAAGTGACAGAGCTAGATGAAATCTAGTTTTGAATACTGCATCTGACATTTATTAGCTGTGTGACCTTTGGCAAGTAACTGACACTCTCTGGGCCTCAGTTTCTCATCTGTAGAATAAAGAGGTTGAATTAGATAATATCCAAGGTTGCACTGAGCTCTGAATCCATGATCTATGACCCTTTTTCCACTGAAAGAGAAAACACATGCCTCTACAATCAAGATACAAATACAAGGAAAAGGAGTATTCACAAGTCCAGCATAAGAGAGGCATGTTTACATAGCAGCTGTTCTGAAAAAGATTTGGATTTTAGCAGACTGCAAATTCAAGGAGCCAACAGTGTGAAGTGGCCCTTAGCAGACCACTGGCTTATAAGAATTAAAGTGAGGACAGTCTTGCCGTACTTGGCCTCAGTCTGACCACATCTGGAGTTGTGTTCACGTCTAGACGCTGAAGTGTCCTGGGGAGAGCACCTTGGGAGTGGCAAAAGGCCTTGAGACCATATCCTATGAACATCAATGGAAAGAAATGGGAATGTTTAGCCTAAAGGAGAAGTTTGCAAGGAGCCATGAGAGCTGAATTCAAGTGTTCGAAGGTCTATCATATAGAGGAGGGGATGGCCTTTTTCTGCTTGGCCCAAGAAGGCAGGACTACAAGGAAGTTTCAAAAACACCAATTCAGGCCAAACTGCCTGACACGAAGATCTGTAAGAAACAGAACAGACTACCTCAAGAAGTGATGGGCTCCCCTTAACTGAAGGTCTTTAAACAGAGACTAGCTAACTTCTAGTCGAGCATGTCATACCGGTGGTTCCCTTCAGATATGGGATGGCACAGATGATGTCTGAGGTCCCTTCCAACTCTCTAATTCTCTGAGGCTGTAATTGAAATGCAGGTTGCCCACAAACAGAAGACGCCCCGAGCAGCAGAGCTCTTGGAAAGGCATGCACCAAAAAGAATTATCCATAATCACCATATCTGTTTGGGAGAAAGCTATTTTCAATAAAAGGAACTAGTTTACATTGAAGTAAGATTCCCACTAGCAAGCGCTCCACAATTTTCCTTTTCACCACATTTCCTGCTGCCCAGAACATCCCATACAAAATAAAGATAGAACTGTGGAACATTAAGAGAAGGCACAATGCACACATTTGTTTTAAATAAAGAATGGCCATCAGCACTTGCCACCATCCTCCTCTTCCTGCGGTCTCTACATATCTCAGTGGGGAAATGGGGGAAAGGGATTTCTCTACCCCATACCATTCCATTCTCTCCTTCACAGTCCCAAAGGAACCTTCCAATACGTGGCCCAGATCTTAGTTCTCTGGGGCCCCTAAAAAAGGCTCCTGACTTTCTCTCCCACACACATATAATCAAAAAGCTACCCACCAATACTGTTTTAGAATGGAGAACACTGGACAGGCATTCGCCCCCAGGGCATTTCCTCACTAAATTCCAAAGCTTAGACACCCTATTATTGAATGGGATGCGATACCAGCAGCCCCTCCACCACCTCCACTCACCACTACACTCCATGGAGGCCTACCCAGAGATAAGGAGCCACCCTGTCCTCATAAATCTGTAAGGAAAAGAAGCTAAGTCCAAGGTCCCTGACCTCACTCATACAGACTGCTCCATTTGTCTACAAGCCCAGCTGGGGAGAAAAGCATGGCCTACATCCAACTAATACGGAAACTGCTTTTCATTTTAGAATCTATTTTGTCCAGTGTTAATTTTTGGTACTGCCTTATCATGTAAAAAATTATTCTATTCTATTTTGTTAAGCTAACGGAACATTTTAATCTTATCTCTTGTTTTTCTCCCTTAAAATTAAGAAAATAGACCTATTACAAGCTTGTAAAACATTTAAATAATTTATGCAGAATATTTCATATAGAATAGCTCATTTATCTAAAATTATTAAGAAATGGAGTATTTCACCTAAATTAATTTTTTCAGATAACTGAAACTTACCCTTTTAAGAACTAAGTTTCATTTTGACCATTTTAAAAATTAAAATTCTTCTAAAATACATCACATATTTCTTGGCTTTATTAAATAATATATCAAAAATAATTTAACACTGTTCTGATAATTCAATCTTAATGGGGTTATGAAGGACAGGCTATTTGTCCTTACAATGAAAAGTCTCAGGTTGCTGACAGAAATTGGGATGTTGCTGAGTCTCTCTTGAAGTCCATCATCACTCATTTCTTTTTTTTTTAATTTTATTTTTACAGTATTTTACTTTTTTCCAAATTACATGTAAAGACAATGTTTAACATTCATCTTTTAACCATTCCGAGTTTCAAATTTTCTCTCTCTCTCCCTCACTTACTTCATGCCTAACACGGTAAGCAATTTGATATAGATTACATATACAATCACGTAAAACATTTTCATATTAGTCATGTTAAGAAAAAAGAAACAGACCAAAGGAAAAAAACACACACACACAAATGCAGAAATTAAAAACCAGTCCGCATTCCAGACTCCATCAGTTCTTTATCTGGATGTGGAGAGCATTTTCCACCAGGAGTCCTTTGGAACTGTCTTGGATCGCTGGTCTATTGAGAATACATGCTGTCATTTCTAAGGAGTAAGAGTACACTGGCATTCTTCTGGTAATCTGCTCTCCGTTACAAGTTAAAAAGTATAAAACTGCAGGAAAAACCAAGTAATTTAACTTGTAAAATCATGGACTAATTTCCAGACAATTTAAAATGAACAGCCTCAGACCTGAGGGTAGAGTTCTGTGAGAGTTATTCCTGGAGCTCACAGGCTTGTTAATTCCCTTTCAGCTCCAGTTGAGGATGAAAAGGTCTGATTTCTGGATAAGTGTGATTTCAAAGTATTTTGCCAAAACAACCCAAACAAAAAACATGAGTGCTATTATGCTTAATTACAAAAAACAATACAGAAAATACTTACAAGAGCTGCTTTCAATTGCCTCTGGAATTCTTCTTCCCGAGCCTGAAATTTCTCATTGAGCTCCTTCTCCTTGTTAGCGAGCTCCCCAGCATACATCTTCTGTAGCTGAGCAATTCTCTCTTCGGACGTTTTCTGAAATATCAGTCAAATGGGCACGGTTAGAGGCCCTGGAAAGCAACATTCATTGTGGTGAACTACAGCAGTGACAAGAAACAGGCATAAGTCAAATTCCATCCAATGACCCACCAAGTCACTGAACTGCAGGAATCACTTTATACATCCTTAGTGATGTAATCTCCTATGTAGTGTTTAGCACGTGCCCATAAAAACCAAACCAAATTTTTGTTTCTATTTATATTACTCATATATAATAAAATGTCTTATTATGTTTATCAGTAAATAATGTAATTTTTTTTAAATAGAGATTACCATCCATTTTAAAATATTAACAACTGATAGCAAGACTATTCTCAATTCCCCAATTCTTTAACAATTCTCCCATGTAAACAGTGACTGTCTTTTGCCTCTTTTTATAATCCCAGAGCCTAGCACAGAGCCTGGCACATAACAGGCACCTAATAAATGTCTATCAATCGATCGATCATGATGATTAAAACTACATGAAAGGGGAAAAAAACACAAAACAACTGAAAATAAATGTTGCAAAATTATAAAAAACAAGCTTGGCTCCAAAGAAAAAACTTAAGAAAATACTTCCCCGAGCTGCTTTGTGGAAGTCAGAGTACACAATATTACAGGTAACATCTGATTTTTTTTCCAACGAGTTGAACAGTTTTGCTGACACTTTTTCCTCTTACTCTCCTTTTTTCTTTCTATTTTCTTTCAATTTTTTTAATTATAAGGCATGGCTTTCTAGGAGGAAAAATGGTGGGGGATGGAAGGGAAAAACTAGAACATTTAAGAACAAAAGATATCAACAAAATCTATTTTTAAAACTACATAAAAAGGTTGGAATATAATCATAAACCTAGAATACATGATAGTGATAAGCTGCCATTGATTTCTCTCTTATACATTTATTTTGTTGATTAAACATAAAATAAAAAATTTTTAAACCATCAGTTTTAATTTCCAAGTCTAATGGAATCTCATTCTTACCTTCATAATGTCTACAACTTCCTGTTTTACCCGGCTTAGCTCCTGCTGCAGATTTATGCGTTCTTCCTCACTTGTTTTTTCAATTGCTTTTATCTGTTCGTCCATTTCTGCTTTCATTTTTTTCCTGGCTTCTTCAGTTTTTTGTGCTGTGCTCAAAGCTTTTTCAAGTTCCTCAAAAGCTAGAATGAAAAAAGGAAACCACTTGGTGTTCCACTTTTTACTCCTGGGGCAGAGAGAGAGACCGTGACAAGACAGGGAACAACCAATGGGCACGGTTTTCAGCTGAGGGGGCAGCTCTTCTTAGTGCTGGACAAACAAGATCTCACAAGTGGCCAGGAAGGAATGATGACTACTCCATGTCTTACTGTCTGTCTGTCTGTCTGTCTTGCTCTTGCTCTCCAGGAGTAAACTGTGAAATAACCATTTTAATGGCTTCTATGAACATCGACCTACAAATATTTGTAACCTAAGATTTTCTCTCATTCATTTCCTTTCATTCAGTTATTCTCCTATTATCAATAACAGTGCCAGGAAGAGAGAACCAATGAAGTCCAAATTATTTCTACTGTGACTTCCAGTTGCTGACAAGCAATCAGTTTCCTCATCTCCCTAACCACTTCCCAGGCACTGTGCTCGTTGCTGGGGACCATCCCTGTACTGCAAGAGCTTACAGCCCCCTGGGCATGGTCGTGAACAGTCTCTGCCCATGGCACCTAGGGTGGGGGAAAATACACCTGCTGCTCAGACTGGGATAAAAAAAGCTCGGATCCAGGAAAGAAAAAAGACAATGGAATTGGGGTAAGGGACTTACCACTGGCATGTGGCAATGTCTGGAAGTCACTGGCCCTTTTTCTCCTCTCCTATTTAACATGGATTATGTATCACAGAGATGATGAGATACCTTTTACAACAGTACCTGAGTCACACACTGGAAATGGACTAAAAGAAGGATGGTGAAGCCTATCCAGCAAAATTACGAGAGTTTGGGGATGACATGCTTTTGTTTGGGGATAAAACAGGTATCCTCAATATTAAATAGATTTTTCCCCCTGCATACACTCTGAAAATCTCAGAACCTAGAACAATTTAAAAGTAAAAAGCTTCCCCTTCTCTGCACTTCCAATCCTCTCCAGGTACGAAGTAATGTGTTTCACTGATGGAGGGGCAACCTGGTTTAGAGGGGAAAGCCCTCGACTGAGTCTTGGAGAAACAGAATTCCAGTCCCAGCTCGGCTGCCTTCTAGCTCTATGACAACAGCCAAGTCACTGAGCCTCTTTTGAGCTTCATACTCCACATCTATAAAATGGCGGACATAATAACTGTCATCTCTAGCTCACTAGGTGCTTGTAAGCAAAATGCCGCCACAATAAAATGCTCTGTGTACACTGTCATTATTGACTAGTCCTTTTTTAAGCATCTGTCGCATTTAAGGAACCTCCTCTATAGTTCACCTCATTAACTGTGGTACTATCAGCTTGAACCCAAAAGCACATAAATTTCTTGAACAAAAGGACAATTTCATTTTTGGCCTTTGTACCCTCCAGTTAATTTAGCTTGGCAAACTGAAATGTTTCATTGAAGTGTGACTCTCCCTTTCCATATTATGAGTTCAGTCAGATCTAACCTGTCTCAGATAATGTAAATTCTCAAGCTAAAAGGGACTTTAGTCAAGCACAAATTTATTACTTTACAAATTACTTTACATGCCCTTCACTAACTGATGACAGTTTTTCCTTTTAAAATTAAGGTCTTCTGTTCTCTAAGCAATACTCCTTACCTAACAATATTCTAAAACACAAAATGAATGCTGATGAAGGCTTAAGTAGAACAGAAAAGCCTACCTTACCAAATCAACCATTCCCAGAACCATGTCTGATACTGATCAGACACTGGCTGTGTCTGACACCTGCCAAAACACAACACATAGCATCTGAGCCTGGCACATTAAATCTTACTTTGTTCTGTCTCCCTCCTGCTTTAATAGAAGTTTAACTACAAAGAGGCATTTTTAAAAAATGTGTGTGTGTGTGTGTGTGTGTGTGTGTGTGTGTGTGTGTGTGTAAAAACACATATCATTTTAAAATTATTTTAGACTCTACATTCTGCCCCAAATTGGGTTACTTCCCTAAGAAAATACCTACATAAAGCTAGAGATGCAATTTTAATTTAAATGCTAAGCATAGTACCTGGCACATAGTAAGTGCTTAATAAATGTTTATTGACTGACTGTACACTGATGTTTTTCTTTAACAAGAAATGTTTCACCTCGTAAACTTTAAAATCTTTAGATTAGTAGAATAAATGTAATTTTTCTTATAACCAGTCCATGTTTTATAATATTCTAAAACTCCTGACTCTTCTATATCTAGATATCTAAATAACTGTTTCCATCCCATGGAACGTGATTGATTTAAGCGCTGACTATAAAACAGTACTTTCTGAATTTTAATACAATTACCCCAGTGAGGTATAAAAAGAGGAGAGAAGGGCAGGGAGAGAAGAAAAGCGCAACAGCCCCCATTGCCATAGGCCCAGTAACATGCAGAAGGGACAGCTGACTCACCACAATCCCAGCACAACACCAGCAGGAAAGCTAAATATGACTAGCAGACTGTCACAAGAATGCATTTTTTCCTTTGAAAGTAAAATTCTATGTATCTCAGGCAATCACTATTTTTAAAAGAATATTAACAAGATAACTTGCAGAAGAAAACTAATATTTCAGGTAATAAATAAATCTTGTGAAAATTTAAATTAGTCGCCAGATAGTTAAATACAATGTAGAATTTTTATTACTCCTAAAGCCTCACTTTCCTCTCATTACCACTCTTAAAGGTAAGGTTTATTTAAGAATATAGGAATAATAAAACCTATTCTTACAGGACTCAAGATAAGGCCTAAATGAGCCAGCCAGCTTGGCAGCATGCATACCCTAAGGGGGCATGTGTGAAAAGAAACCACTTTTAATATGCCTGGAGCAGTGAAAAAAGAGGAAGACACATGTCAGGCCAGTCCTGGGTAATATTCCAAAGTCTGTCTCTGCCACCCTTAAAACATTCCCAATTAGAGTTCTTCCACCTACTATGTACTAGGACTGCTAAGGGGCTTGATAATTAAGGATGACAAAAGCTCCATGGGTGCAGAAACCCTCTCAGTGAAGGCAGGAAGGGTTGCTGTGGCCCACTCTCTTCTCTTCCTTACTTTGTTTCCCTCCTAAGCCCACCAGGACCCTGGGACTCAAGGCAGTAGTCCCTTTGAAAGATCCAAACTGGATCTGGAAGTAGGTTGGAGAGGACAGGAAGGAACGAAGGTTAAAATGCTTACACCCCTTTCAAAAGCATGCTGGTGCCTAGACTGAATGTGCAATCTTTACATAATATGCATGTTGCTTCTGACCACACCAAAGAGGCTGTACTTCAACAATGCCAGAGCAGCAGAGCTAAACAAAATCACAGTAATCACATGCTCAGGAATCACTTCTCGGGTAAAAAATCATGAAGCCAGCAGACATAAATGAAAATGAGGCCATGCTACCATCCAGAGGTAAAAACTGGGTAATGCAACACCAATAAAATCAGGGCCTCCAAATTGATATGGAAAATTTGGAGGTAACAATAAAACTTTTTTCCCCTAAGTAATGCTGCCTTCCCAAACCACCACCAGGGCAGAATATTTCAATTGAAAGTTTGCAACTAAAAACATTCTTCAAAATAAATGCACATATATAATATTTCTATGGACTTAGTCTTCAGTTTTCTATGCAAATTAGTCTATAATTCAAAGCTCAGAAAAATATCAACAAGACCTTTTAAAAAGCAGGCTGCGTGATAAGGGATAAACTGAAGCCATGACTTCGGTCAGAACTTTTTTTACTACTACTAATGTTTACTACCTGCAGATTAATCATTCAAGTGAAACTAAGTGTGAAAATGATAAGTGTGAAAATGATCAGTGAAAATGTCACCATCAATATATTTGCAACCTATTTGTCATTTTATTCGGGGGGGGGGGAATTATCAAATTAACAAAGCATATTTATAACACACTAGGTGACTTGAATTTTTAAATTACAGGCTACTCATCTAACTACTATGTTACTCTGTACTCCCATAAAATACATTTAATGCTTCCTTCCTTTACATTTATTACTTCTTGGCATACCCACTCACTTTTAAACAGACCACATCAAAAAGATGAAATTCCAAAAAATAAAATAAAATACATGCCAGTTTTCCAGTTTCAAAGTTGTACTAATGAGTTCTCAACATACCCATTTACACAATTCTGTATTTTCTTAGCCCAAAGAAATATGGTAACAATGACAGTTGGGCTCTACTTCAAACGGCTTATCAATCACGTTCCAGGAGGAAGAAGAATGTTCCAAATCAGGAAAACTGAGGAGACAATACAATGCTGGCCTGCCAGGGCTAATGCAGCCACCACATTCCCAGGTGTTCGTGGTAAATGTCATGAGACTACGCTACTCACAAAGAGAGCAAGCTGAAATCTCTATATGGGGCATTTATAATAATTCATCTAGAAATACAAAGCGTAGCAGATTTAGCCATTTTCTACAAAAAGTAGCAAGGAACAAGCAAAAGCCAACTTCTAAATTCTGACTCAGTGACAAAAAGAAGGTCATAATTTGGGAACATCCACCATCAAAGGACATGATCGTTAATTGCTTTCATGTTTCTTTTCAGATGCAAAATTAAATCCTTCACAGTTGAAAAGACATTGAGAGCTGATTTTCTGATGACAGGCTTATTCTTAAAGGCTTAAGGACTGTCAGCTTTTAAAAATGCGTAATGTTTTCTTTAAAAGTATACTTTATATATGTCTAGTCTATGAGTTTTAAATCAGAGGACAAAAAACATTTTACAGAGTAGACAACTTCTTCAAAATCCAGATGTTGCCTCTTTTTACCAGTTCTCTTTTTACCAGTTTACCTGTTCACAAGCACAAGATTCATGGAATCCTATTTACTTTGGCTGACCTTTTCTTACTCTCCTCAGTACTTAAATGGAATCCTTCCATCACTATACATACACACGTACATATGTACGTAGGGTAACTGCAAAAGAACGTGTTTAAGTTTGAAACATTCTGTCCAAACTGATCTTGTAGGATCCGATGAAATTAGTAATTAATTAGTAATGATTAGTGATCAGATGAAATTAGTAAGCAACACTACTTCACTTCATACTTAAAATGCATCATCTGCAATGAGCAAATTAAATACCACGCAGCCAGTCCAACAGTAACCACTTCTAGGCAGCAGTCCTCAAAAATTATAAATTCAAAAGACAGGCCTTTTAATTGTATGCGAAGACACTCATAGCTGCCGCTGCACAAAAGGTTTTCCAAAAGTGAGCAAATCTGTTTTAAAACACGCATACTGATTCTGTCTTAGAGTACATTTGCTTCATTACCCAATTCTTCTAAAAGGCACATTTACACAGTTCAATTACCAGAAGAAGAAATCATCTGACAAAGTAAATATTTATGGGAGGACATTTTATACAAACCACCACTAAAAGAAAAACATGACCAAGCTGCTGCCTGTGTTTTGCCCCGGCAGAATAAGCCTATGGACTGGCTGCTTGATAGCAGAACTCACCTGGGACAGCTTCCTATTCACAGTGCGGCCCTTTTTGGGATCTGCCCCTCATCTCCTGCCCCTTTTAAGACCCATCCTGTTCTGTACGGAAGCCATCACATTTTCCACCTTAGAAGAATGCAATTTTCGCTTCTCAACTACTTTTTCTGTGCCTCACTACAACCACTGTCAACAGGAGCAGTGTTAAGCTGTGCAAAAGGCCTGGCAAGAGTGGTAGAGAAGGCACTGGTTGAGCACACTTTGTTTCCTTGTGGTGCTTTCAAGTAAAAATGTGCTTAACCCCTTCTTCGATCTCTTAAGCCATCCTGGGGACCCATTCAGAGACTCAACCTGGCCAGAAGTAACATCTGGCTCTGGGTTGTCACCCAGAGACATGGGGGCTAAACTAGAACAGCACAGGCCCACATCTTCGGATGTGATGTGGGCGCTGCCTGCCAAGGAACGCGCCAAGGAACGCCGGGCACAGCCCGGCCTTCCCGTTCATCCCTGGAGATGGTTAGTCCTATTCTACCACAGACCGGCAGCGAGGATCTACAGGAACACCATGGAAATTCACTTCGATTCCCATTCTTCTGCCCCTATCTTGGTCTCAATGCACAACCAGTTCTCTGTTTTCTACTTGCCAAAGACTATATTAATACCAGCTTTCATAATGGTAACTGCCTTCCAAATACACAAGCCTAAGCCAGTCTCTCATACAAGCTCCAACACCTACCCCATAAACACGTTAAACTCTAACGCCTAATCTCTTCTTCCTTCCTCATTCTCAAACTGGCTCCCTTTCCCAAAATCATTGCTTCTTTTTGGTGGTGCACTTATTCTCCCATCCGTAACACTTCAAGAGCTATCTCTGATCATGAAGCCTCCTTTGCCTCTCCAAGTCAACAAGTCCCACTGAGTCAGGCTCAGTGGCCCTCCGCATTATTCCCATCTGCACCTTCACCTTGGCCCTCATTATGTCATGCTCGAATTACATAATTTCTGCAATCACCTCCTCCCTCATCTCCCTTCCTCTATTCTCTCCTGTTTTTAATCCAAAGATCATACCATCCATTAATTTAATAAACATTTATTAATGACCTATAACGGATGTTAAAAGAGACACTTTTGAAGCTTACAAGCTAGCAAGGAGACAAACAAGCACAACTATTTTTTTAATTACATATTATGTGCATCAAAAGAAAGAAAATCTTTGATTAAGTTGAGAGGCTCAAAAATGACTTGGTAAGAGAGGCAGCATCTGAGGGGCTTCACATGATGGCTAGGCACAGTCAATAAGGGAATCTGTTTGGCTAGACTATACTTGGGCGAAGGTAGTTGTTTTCCATTTTTCTTTGTTTTCGGGGGGGCAGGAAAAGAAATGCTTGATAATTGAGGAAAAATAAAATGTGGACAGGAACTCAAAAGGCAAACAGGAAAGAAGGCACTTTGGGCATTAGAAAAAGCATGAGCAAAAATAAGGTAGCCATAAAATTGCTGCAGATTTGGGACAACCAAACTTATTAGGGTATTGGGGGGGGGGGATTAGGATGGACTACAAAGGACCTTCAAAGGCAGAACATCAGATAAGTCTGAAGAAAGAAACAGGATTTACATGTAAGAATTATTCCAGGAGTAACAAGGATGGCAGTAACGAAGGCCTGCTAGGGAAATTCTAATGATCATCTTGACTTTCATCGCAATGAAAGTCAAGGGCGAAAGGCCAGACCAAGGAACATCACAGGGCAAAAGGGACCAAAAAGGGACCAACAGATGTATTTGAGAGGCAAGGGCCAGAGAAGAGGCCAGCAGAACCCTGGAATCCTGACAGGGTGAATGGCAGTACCACAAACCAAAAAGCATTAAAGACATAGTGAGGAAGGAGGAGAGCAGATGGAGTTTAGTTTGACAAGTCACTGAGACCTGCAGGCAGGTGGAGACGTCTTTAGGGAGGCAAAGATGTGAGGCTCAAGTACAAGAGAAGTCAGCCCTGGAGAGAGAGCTGAGAGTCATCTGACTAGATGTGGAGAGAAGGGAAAAGGCCAATCCTTGAACCCTACATTAAGGATGAGGGGAAACTCCTAAAGAGCCAGGAGAGGAGGCAGAGAAGGAGCGATAAGAAAGAGAAGAGGGGGGCAACTAGGTGGACACTTACTAGCTGTATGACCTGGGCAAGTCACTTAACCCCAACTGCCAAAAAATAAAAAATTTTTGAAAATTTTAAAAAAGAAAGAGAAGAGGAGCAGCAGGAGGTTGGCATGTCTGAAGCCAAGGGTGGAAAGAATAACCAGCAACAGAAAGCAGTCAGCAGCATCAAAAGCTAGAGAAATGTCAGAGGAAAAGTGTTTTCTTGAGAACCAGGTTTTAGAGAGTAAAAAGTACCAATGACTTTTAAGAGATCAGCTGCTGTACAGTATAAGGGAGAAAAAGAGAGTGGATAGAGGGAAATGGAGAGATCAGCCAAGACTCCTTTTTCAAAAAAGTTTAACAATGAATGGAAGGAAAAAAGAGTAAAATGGTAGCCTCAGAGAAGACTTCCACATCAGAGGTCCAACTCTCCTAGAAAGCGTCCCCAGCAGGACTAAATGGAGGAGGCTCTCTCCCTTCCCCAAATTCCTCTCTAAACATCTATACTCCCACAAAGAGCTTCCTAACACACTACTGAATGCAGCACCTCCCTATAGTACAGGATGCTGTCCTGCTCACCATTCTCAGGTATCTGTCTTGTCTTCCCACCTAGACAGCAAATTCTTGGAGGGTGAGGCCCATGTTTTATAAGCTCCTGAGTCCCTACAATCCCCTGCCCATGCCAGGTGCTCCCTGGGCCTGCAAGAACACTTTCTGATTGACTACAGAAATTCAGGTGCAAGTTGTGATTGTCTAAATACTCTCTTTACGAGGAGATTTCTGTCAAGGAGCATGCATGATGAGGTCCCCAGCTGGGCATTTCCAACAACAAGATTAAATGACTTCTGGCCCCAACACTGCTTACCAGCTTTCTCACATTTCTCTTTCTGTTCCCGCAGCTCCTCGCCCTGGGTGGTCATCTGCTTGAGTCGACTACGAAGCTGAGCGATCTCTTCTTCTTTCATTTCCAGGGTCTCGTGCATTTGACGTTTGGTCTCTGCTATTACCATTCCCTGCCAAGAAGCATTTGAGCACTTGTGATAAGAGCCCCGAATCAAAGGCATGAGAGAGGTGGAAGGGTTTTCAAGATAGAACAAATCAAACACAACAAAAATATCACACATTAGAATGGTACTTCTGGACAAAGGCAACTCTAAGTACTTGGGCAAACAGGACAAAGCTACATACTTTAGCTAGTGATCTACCACCATCCTGAGGGGTTTGTAATAAATATTTTTCTAGAAAAATTTCTTTCAAACTTTTCTATCTGGAGTATGATGATAACTACTTTAATGGAAGTCTTTCTAAAAGGCACACTGAAAACCATTACCCTTTCCTAAATAACTCAAGATGATTCAGAACATCAATTAACATACCAACATTCTATTACACTCTCAGGTCTACAGAATGATGAAAGGCTATCTTGTCCCTGCATTAATTTTTACTAAGCACCTGGTATGTACAGAAGACCGTGTGAAGTGCTAAGAGAGAAAAAAGCCAAGGGAAGGCACAGTTTCTGCCTCAGTGGACCCGACCATCAAGTAGGGGAGTAATACAGTTGACCATGCTACACAATATTACATGATAGAGCCTTCAGAGAAAGTTCTAAGGAGGAAGAATGGGATTCTCCTTACTGACTGAAATGCTATTTATATAGGATTTAGGTATACGTTTGATTACTCTCAATGTATATAAACACAGTCACTCTCGCATCTTTCAAGTTTCTAGACCTCTGACAGGCTACATGAGAAGGGTATCACTGCACATTCAGGATAACTCTTCATAAAGACAGATCTGCAACTCAGCAAAGGGAAACTATACACACACAAGATCATTCCCACAGTTCTCTTCAATCATAATGACCTTACAGCGTAACAGAGATGGCCTTCACCACAAAGCATGACTTTCCCTTAATAAAAAAGGCTTTTATGTGGGCATACCCTGCTAATACATGTCCCAGCCAAAGATGTTTAAAAACAACATTACTGTTACTTTAACACTAAATTCCTACCTCTGTTCCCACACAAACCCTCTGTAACAGACATCTTTCTATCAATCATTAGGTCATATCAGCATTCCTTAGAAGCATTCTCTCAACTCAGCTCCTCCTAGGACATATTTCTCTTCTTGCACATTCATTACAGCTGTGCTCCCTACCACCACACCCCAAAAATCAAGAGCCCAAACCTTTGCTCACCCTAGCCCTTCCAAAGGGTTCCCCTGGCTCCAAGTGCTTACTTACCCTGGCCCCAACTCCTTGGGCTTCATTAAGTCCAGTCCAGCACTTTACAGAGTCCCAACCCCAATCTATATGCCCAGCGTAATCACCCCAGCTGTACTGTACACACACATCACTGATCCGACTCCATGACACATCCCTTCTCCCACGAATCTTCACAGAATCTCAGGGTTGGAAGGGACTTCAGAGGCCAGCATCTAGTCCACTCTTCCCTAACCAAGAACGCCCTCCACATCACTGCCAAGGAGGAGTCAACCAACCTCTGCCTGAAGACTCCCACTTCCCAAGTCAGTCCCTCGCCTTCTGAAGGGCTTTCATGGCTACAGAGTTTGTCCTTCCATCAGGCCTAACCCTGACCTTTTATAACTGCCCCCTGTTGCTTCTGGTTCCCCTGCTATTTCCAATAAAAACTAATCTAATTCACCCTGGCACTGGACAATCCTTCAAATACTTGAAAAAGAGGGATCGTGCTCCCCCCAAGCCCTTCAATCTTCCCCTCTCCAGGCTAACCAGACCCAATCAGTCCCTAGTCAGTACTTTTCACTGGCTACTGAACTACTGAGGTCACACTGAGAGCGCAGCTAGGGTCAAGGGAAAACAGTTTCCTTTCTTTTTTTCCTAAGCCACAGAGACAGTGATCACACCACATCTTTCCTCCCCTTCCGTGCCAGACCCCTAAAAGAGTAACTCAAACTCAGCGGCTTCCTTTCCTTCCCACACACTGCCCATCCAAGTACTAAATATAAGTAACTGTATCCTCAAAGATTTAAAGCACACATTTCAAAGAAATATTAAATCACATGCTATTGTTACAAATGTCTCTTGTCACAAAAATGTGACTTGACAATTCAGTGTTTGCTTGAGGTCAAGAAATCATTGATTATCAGATTTTCATAAACAACACTATGGCTAAAGCTGATCTGACTCTAGAAAGTGAAATAAAAATACATTTGCATTCTGAGTACTTTTAAGCTATTCAAAACACACCAAAAGCACGAGCCAGGCTACACCTCCTTGCTTATTTACCTTATCCTGTTCAAGCTGTTCAATCAAATTCTTGGCATCCCGCAGCTGAGTAATCAATTTCGTTTTCTCAGCCATGTGAAGCTCCTAGGACATAAAAAGAATTCGATTCCATTTGATCATTTAGAATTTAAGGATTTTATATAAATCAAGAACTTCTACTTCTCACATATTATAATTTATTTAGAATGATAAAACATAAAGTGTTGGAAAGGGCCTCAAGTTCTGATTCAGTGGTGCCCTATTTTTTTAAGCCTAAGGACCCTTTTTCTCAGATTGTCCATGACAGTATCTGCATCATTCATATCTACTAATAGAGAAAAGAGGTAATTCCTTTAATATTTTTTCCTAATTACATGTAAAAACAATTTTTAACATTCCTTTTTAAAAAAATGTTTTGTTCCAAATTCTCTCACTCCTCCCTTTTCTCTCCCCACACTGAGATGGCTAGATGCACAGTCAGGCAAAACATTTCCATTTCCATGTTTCTCATATGAAAGAAAACCCAGACCCCACCCACCCACCTGAAAAAAAAAAAAGTAAAAAACATAGTCTGCTTCGATTTGCTTTCAGACTCCACCGCTCCTCCTCTGGAAGGGAGCACCATTTCTCATTAAAAGTCCTTCAGAATTGTCTGGGATCTTCATATTGCTGAGAATAGGTAAGTTCTTCCCAGCTGATTATCGTACAATGTGGCCATCACTCTGCACAATGTTCCCCTGCTTCTGCTCACTTCACTTTGCATCATCGCCTCATGTAGTAAGTCTTTCCAGGTTTTTCTGAAACCCGCCTGCTCCTCATGTCTTAAAGGACAATAGTATTCTATCACAATCCTATACCATAACTTGTTCAGCCATTCCCCAGTTGATGGGCATCCCCTCAATTTCATTTTGCCACCACACACACACACACACACACACACACACACACACACACACAAAAACTGTCATAAATATTTTTGTATATATAGGTCCCCTTTTCCTTTTTTTTTTGGGGGGGGAAGGATACAGACAGAGTATTTGGGATACAGACATAGTATTGCCGGGTCAAAGGGTACGCACAGTTTTATAGCCCTTTGGACATACTTCCAAATTGCTCTCCAGAAGGGTTAGGTCATTGCATAACTCAAAAAGAGTATCATTCTTTTTTTAAAAATTACTATTAATTCCATTAGGAAAAGTAGGCTGACCTAGCAGAGAGAGGACTATTCTTGAACTACATACAAGCTACGTGACTATGGGCAAATCATTTCAGATTCCTGTGTTCTAAGCAATTCTGTGAGACTCTAAGTTACAGACAAGATGCCAATTTATATCAGTGGAGTGAGTTTCTACACTGGAAGTCCATTCTTCCAGACAAAATCCTAGAACTATCCTCCCATAAAAAATTAATTCAGTAACAGTTGAATGAATTTTCACATAAATGGATACATATGTATTTGATATACATACATAATGTGATCATTATTACACTGAATCAGTTAATCAATTAAAAAGCATGTAAGTACCTACTATGCGCCAGATAGTTAATAATACCCCTTGAAATAAGCCTCCAGTAAGTAGTCATTCACTCTCTAACTAATGAACTCAAGTGATGGGGAATTCACTCCCCCTAAAACTGCCTGTTCCATCTCTGACCAGAAGAAACTACTGAGAAATCTTTGATTCCACTGAGTGGAAAACACCACCCCTCTTTCGCCCACTGGTCCTAGGGAGCAAAGCAGTACCACAGCGACCACAGCGCAGGACCTGAAGTCCGCCTCTCCGCGCCTCGGCGTCTGCCTCTACAGAGCAGATCTGGCTGAACCTCACAGGAGAGCACCGGCCACTGTGAGGGGTCTGCTTCACAAACCGAAAGGCACGGCCAGACAGGCAGCTTCGGCCATTTATCAGAAGACCTGCTGGGTCATCCCCAGGGCTTGATTACTCTGCTTCTAGGCTATTCCACAACACAGGTTGTCTAAATGCTTTCATGTCCCCAAGCCCCCAGAGCTGCCCCTTCCCATGACTTCCCACAAGACTCCTCCTCTGTTCTTTAAAAGTATTAATTAAAAGTTCAAGGTACATATAACATTTTCAAGATGACAACAAAAAGTTGTTGCCCTTAATGAAGTTAAATAATCCTTCTCCATTCTCTCCGGTCACACCAAAACTAACCATTTTATCTTAGCTTATTTTCTCTCACATCCACAATCTGGTTTTGTCATTCATCTCTTCTCTTTCAGATACTTTTAATCTCTCTCTTACCATGCGGCTTCATCTCATCTAAGAAATGTTCAACTCTTTCCAATCCCAAAAAAGCCTTTCCTCTACCCTCCTGCTCCCTTCAATTAAAGGCCCATCACTTCAGTGCTAAAATTCCGGAAAAGATTTTCCCCCCAACGCCACCGTGCCATCCCCACCAACTACTTGCCCAAAACCCTTGCCATGTCTACTGTCCCAAAACTACTCCAAGTGTTTGCTCAAAGGTCATCAGTGACCAAATCACCAGTGAATGACCCTTTCTCAGTCCTCAAACCACTCTCATGAACTGCTATTCCTACTGGACACATGCATGGGGATTTCCCTATAAGTATCTCAAATTCAGCACACCCAAAACAAAACTCACTATTTTCCCTCAAAAACTCATTCATCTTCCCCTATTTCTGCTGGCAACACTGCTCCTCTTCTAGTCACTCTGTTCCATCTCCCCCATCCTTCAAAGACAAAGCCTTTTCTTTCCTGACTACACAACCTCCCCCGAACGAGTCACAGTCTCAAAGTCTCAACACTCAAACAGCAGACACGATATTCCAAGCCTTTCTCACCTCTGAATTAGATGACTGCAAAAGGTTTCACAATGTTCACAGCCCCCAGCAAAATGCTGACTAATTATACTTCACACCTCTCACGCTTATGAAACTAATCTTTTTTAGCCCGAGATTCCATCCTCTTAAGATCTTTTGGGATCCTTACTCTTGTCCAGGTCATGTTGGGCTGTGTGCCATCTAAAAATCAGATGAACCTTTAAGTCAATAAAACTCTAATGTAGGCCTTTATCAAATTCATTGATACAAACAGGAACTAGGATGGGGCTGGAGACATCCTTCCAGGTTATCTAACTTCAAGTAGTTCAACTACTGCAATGTTTTCTAGCCTGTATTTCTAAAATATCAGTATAAAAGACCATCAGCTACTCCGCTAAAATCTTGGTAATTCCTATGTACATGTCTCCCAGTATGTCAATTTAATTGCTCTGCCAAAAGGGGAAATCGATCCCACATGACCTGTTCCTGATGAAGTCATGTGATTTCTTTGTGATCATCACACTTTCTTTTACAGATGCTTGCTTTGCTGCTGCTGACTTGTTTCAGTCATGTCCGACTCTTCATGACCCCATTTGAGGTTTTCTTGGCAAACATACAGGAGTGGCTTGCCATTTCCTTCTCCAGCTCATTTTTACAGATGAGGAAACCGAGGCCAGGGTAAGTGTCTGAGGGCAGATCTGAATTCAGGAAGATCAGTCTTCCTGACTCCAGGCCCAGTGCTCTGTGCATTATGGCGCCACCTAGCTGTCCCAGATGTTCACTACCATCTCTTAATATGCTGTATTCTAGAATTTTGCAAGAACTTAAGTCAAGCTCCAGGGCCCATAGTTGAAGGACTCCAATTTTCTTCTCTTTTTTGTTAGTTTGTTTGGTGTTTTTTTTTTTGGTTAGGCAATGGGGTTAAGTGACTTGCCCAGGGTCACACAGCCAATAAGTGTTATGTGTCTGAGGCCAGGTTTGAACTCAGGTCCTCCTGAATCCAGGGCTGGTGCTCTATCCACTGCGCCACTTAGTGGCCCCTTTCTTCTCTTTTTTGAAATTGAAGAAATTCACCCTTTGCCAGTCCTAAGGTACTTCTCCTCATCACCACCAGTCAATAAACATTTATTAAAGACTTACTGTGTGCCAGACACAAAAAAAGCCAAAATACAGTCCCACTGGGGGCAAAGACAGACAAACAGCTATGTACAGACAAGTGACACAGAGGATAAACTGGAGAGAGGCAAGTGAAGGGAGGGCACTGCAGTCAGGGTGTGGGGAAAAGCTTCCTGGAGAAGGCGGTATTTTAGCTGCAACTTGAAAGAAGCCAGGGAAGCAAGAGGCAGAGAGGACGAGGGAGGGAGAGATCCAGGAATGCAGGGAAACTGCTGAAGATGCCCAGAGCTGGGAGATAGCTCTTCCAACAGCAGCTGGGGGGGAGTTCTTAGTGCATCTGCACCAATCTGTTCAGACAGCTCCTTCCTCTTCCTCTTTCATATTGGAAAAGTGAGACTATATAATGAGAATTTCACTTAAGAGTTCCTCATCTGTGCTAAGCTGACTCTACCCACCCTTAGAATGTTGGGTCTTGGGATCCTACCTGTGCTTTCTCTGAATTCTCTGTTATAATTTTGTCCACAATCTAGTGTTTAATAAGTACTTGTTGTCTGAGATTACAGAATAAGACTTTTGTTTTTGACATGGCAGATGCAGAAATTTGTTCTGCTTGACTATACATCTTTGTAAGAGGAATTTTGCTTTTCACTTTCTCCATGGAGTAGAGAGGAGGCTGAAAGGGAAGTGAGAGAAGATGTTTTTGCCAATTAAAAAAGAATTTAACGTTTAAAAAGAGATTACTAAGAACAGTCTAGGTGAATAGTGATTAGAGGTGGTACTTGTGTGAGTGGAGAAAAAGGGACAGAGACAAGAGATGTTCAAGAGATCAAACTGACAAGGACAAGATTGCAAACAGGCAGGAATAGGTCACTGGTAAAGGAATGTGAAAAATCAAGCATGGTTCTGAGGTTACACACCAAACTTCAGTAGTTTAAAGAACAGCTGTCCCTACACAGAAATACAGGAATTCGGAGGAAAGAAAGGTTTAGGGGGGAAGATAAGGAGTTGTTCCATTTCAGACATAGTGAGCTTGAGATTCCTTTGGGACACCAAGTGGAGATTTCGGGCAAGCAGCTGATAATCGGGAACTAGAGTTCAAGGGAGAGATTTCTGTTTGTTGTTATTCAATCATTTCAGTCATGTCCAATTTTTCATGACCCCACTGGGGGTTTTCTTGGCAGGTACTAGAGTGGTCTGCCATTTCCTTCTCCAGCTCATTTTACAGATGCAGAAACTGAAGCAAACAGGACTAAGTGACTTGCCCAGGGTCACACAGCTAGTAACTGTCTGGGGCAGGATTTGAACTCAGGTCTTCCGGACGCCAGGCCCAAGGCTCTATTAACTACTAGATGAGAGATTAGCAGTGGTTATATAAATCTGCAAGAAGATACAAAGAGATGATAACTGAATTATGAGATAACCAAGACTAAGGACGTAGAGAGAAAAGAAGCCCCAGGACACTCAGGGTTGGGGTACTGGAGATGGATAAGGAGACCAGAGACAATAAGGGAACCCAGGGGAGATCTACGTCACAGAGCAGACGAACTCCTAGAAGGGGAAGGCAGCTCCCAGGGCCAAAGCCACAAGGAAGATGAAGAGGATGACGACTCAGAAAGGCTACTGGACACAGTTACAAAGAGATCCCTCCTAACACAGCCAAGCTGGGGCTACCACACTGCAAGGGACAGTGAGAGGAAACACAGAGTTCTAAGAATCTGACCATTTAAGAGAGGAGACAGACCAGATGACGATCTGGACGGTGAGCAGAGTAGTCAGCAGGGTCAAAGCCTGGATGGATCATCAGTACCTAACAAGGGATTGCGGCTGAGCCGTCCAGAGTGTGTGATCAAAGAGGCAAACTCTCTCCTGGTTGTCCAAGTACCAAGTGATCTCTTCTGCACAGTTAGAGAGGCTATATGCTGTTCTTGAGTCTTATCTTTCCAAAGGAGGGAGGGAAGGAGGAGGACTGAGAGGAAGACTGGCAAGGCAGGGAGGGGTCAGGTTACAATGAGCTTTAAAAGTCAAACAGAGGTTCTCATTAATCCCAGTTGCTGAATTGAATCAAATGGAATTTATGTCTTTGGGGTGGGGGGTTGGAGTGAAAGAAGGGTGAACGTGTTCTCCTTTGTAACAATGAACATGAAGCTAAGAACGAACACTGGAGTGCACTGGACCAGGCTGTCTCCCTGTCCCTTTCTAACATTCTCAAGCATTCTACCAACATAGTGCCATTCAGCACCGTGCAGTTAAAAACAACCAGTGAAGACCACTGCCAAGAGGCAGAGTAATGGGGAAGAAGACCTGGACAGACACATGATGGTAAAGACCATTCTCCTGTTGGAGCATCAGTTTCTTCATCCATAAAAGAGACCTCCAATGTAGGAAAACTTGAACACTAATGCATGACTGGTAGAGCTGTGGTAGATTAAGCCATTCTAGAGAGCAATTTGGAACTATGCCCAAAGGGCTTTAAAAATGTGCATACCCTTTGACCCAGCAATAGTACTTCTAGGGCTGTATCCCAGAGAGATCATACAAATGGGAAAAGGACGGATCCACATGTACAAAAATATTGACAGCAGCTCTTTTTGTGGTGCCAAAGAACTGGAAATTGAGGGAATGCCCATCAACTGGGGAATGGCTGAACAAGGTGTGGTATATGAATGTAATGGAATACCACTGTGCTATAGGAAATGATGACGAGGCAGACTTCAAAAAACCTGGAAAAACTGGCATGGACCAATGCTGAGTGAAGTGAGCACAATCAGGAGAACGTTGCACACAACAACAGCCATGTTGTGTGATGACCGACTTTGACAGACTCAGCTCTTCTGAGCAATGCAAGGATCTCCAAGTCTCAAGACAGAAAATGCTACCCACTTCCAGAAAAAGAACCACGGAGTCTGAATGCAGATGGAAGCATACTATTTGTTCTCCTTTCCTTTTGTTGTTTTGTTTCATTTCTTTTTTCTTATGGTTCCTCCCACCAGTTCTAATTCTTCTATACATCATGACTAATGTGAAAATATGTTTAATGTGAATGTATAAGTAGGCCCTATATCAGATTACACACTGTCTTGGGGAGGGGGCGAAAATTTAAAACTCAAAGTCTTATGGAAGTGAATGTTGAAAACTAAAAAGAAATAAAAAATAAAACAAAACAAAATAAAGAAAAAAAGAAGCCTTCATCAAGGGGTTACCATGAGGACTGATGAGGTGCATGCAGAACAGGTGAGCCTCAGATGGTACCTACATGTGAGCTGCCACTCACATTCTGGGCAATCAGGCACCAGAGGAGACTCGTTCTGTCGGGCTCCAGGGGCAGAATCATGAGCAATGATGGGAAGCTGCAAATTCAGTCTGATGCCAAGAGCTCCCTGGTGAGGGAGCTCTCCACCAGCAGAAGGGACAGCCCCTCCCCTGGGGACGTCAGGTAGAAGCGCAATGACCAGTGGTCTGGGAGGCTGGAGTGGAGGTTCCTTTCAGCTACGGACAAGATGGCCACTAAAGGGCCTTTTCAGACGATGAAATTCTGTAGATACCACAGTTTACAAAAACTAATTTCCTAGAAAACTAATTTTTCTTTTAACACAAAAGCTAAGCTTCTATTTTAATCACACTTAAGGGAATCTTTCTAAAATGCATTTTATTGCTACATCTCTACACTGACCCTCTCCTGGATGATTCTGGGGCAACACAAACATCCATAATGCACTGCTCACCACTGGGGTGGGCGTGGTCACTGGTTTCTATACAGTGGTACCAGAAAACTGGCCTTCCAGCTCTTCCAATTCCCAGGTCTGCCTCTGCAGGCCTCCCATCACTGCCCTGCCCTCTGGCCTGTGCAGATGAGTGCCCGTGTTTGTCTACCGCCCTCCTCCCCTTACTGCCCGGAGGAAGGCCTATGGCTGACTCCAGGCTTCTCCTAAAGATTCAAGTAAGTGGATTTGTGAGAGCTAGTCTTCCTCCTACGTTATTTTTTGGTTTGTTTCTTGCTTTATAAGCAAACAGATAAGGTTGCCATACTACATGTGGCATAGCGGAGCTTGCCAAATTACCTAATCTCAACACAAAAATTTAGCATGGACACAATGGAACTAATTCTACATAAAACTTCAATTAAGAGGATGTTAAAAATAAAGTATACAAAGTTGAAGCTGTGCAGGAAGTGTGGTCCAAATGGAAAATTTGGAGTCAGGGGACCTGGGTTCAAATTCAGGTTCTATGGTAGATATCTGTATGACCTTGAGAAAGTCATTTCCCCTCCAGTCCTGAGTTTTCTGTAAAATGAGGATCTGGACCAGATGGCATCCAAGGCCCCTTCTAGCTCTATACGTACGATCTGAATGTTTTCTTGGCTACTTGGGCCATCATGTTCCTCTTAGTTTACAAAAGAATAAAGAAAATTACAGAATAAAAAAGGGTACTGGGCTAGAAGAAAGGAAACCTAGTTACTGAACTCTACACTCTGCACAGAAATACAGTTCACAGTACCAGTACTATTGTAAGGACACTCAACTACAAAAGACTGAGTGCCTCTGAACAGCCAAAAGGACTCCTGATGAAATAAGCCGTCCCCCTCCAGAGAAAGAGCTGAGGAACTCCTCTGAGTACATGGAAATAGACTGTTTTTCACTTTATTTTTCATGCTTTTTTTCCCCCTCACAACACAGCTAATGTGGAAATGTTTTAAATCACTTCATATGTATCATGGGTATCATTTTTCTTACTTTATTAATGGGTTGAAGAGGGGTAGAGGAAGAGAAAATAAAAATTTTAAAAACAAAAAGTCTTCACTGAATACCTGAATATCTCCTTCTTCATCCATCCTAAAATCTAGAGTGCATATTCTATGGAGCAATTATGCCCAGTTTTGTTTGTTTGTTTTGCTAGGCAATGGGGTTAAGTGACTTGCCCAGGGTCACACAGCTAGTGAGTGTTATGTGTCTGAAGCTGGATTTGAACTCAAGTCCTCCTCACTTCAGGGCCAGTGCTCTATCCACTGCACCACCTAGCTGCCCCTATACCCATTTTTAACACCTTCCTTGTGTTATGTTTTACAAATAATTTAAGAAAACTGTTTTTTAAAAAAAGGTTAAGTCTCCTTCTGTGTACTCACATAAGTCTTAGGAGACGTTAGACAAATCACTTCCCCACCTCTGTCCAGTTTCCTTGTCTGTGAAATAAGGGTGAACCCTATATGCCTAAATGATCTCAAGCTAAGGTCCCATTCTATGACACCTATATCTGGAAAGCCAGGGGAGTACCCCAAGGTCTCGCATTCCCAGGGTCTGGCACTTGGACTCGTGTCCAACAGGCTCCAGTCATCTCTTCCCAAGGGGATGCCGGAGCTGAGAGGCAGCCGATGAGAACAGAGGTGGCCGTGCTTCTTACCTTCATCTTCTCCAGCTCCTGAAGCCTTTCCTCGAGCTGCTCCTGAAGGGCTTCCTTCTCGTTGGTTACAAGGGTAGCTCGCTCCTTGTGTGACTTAATCATGTCTTTGCAGCGCTGAAGGAGATTCTCTTGTCGCTTCACTCTTTGCTGAAGAGTTTCTAAAGTTTTGGCAGCATCTCCATCTCCTTCTCCCTCTGCTGACACTGAAATGGAATAATACCCATGGAGGAGTCAGGCAGGCAGAAGCGTCAGAGCTCAAAGAGCGTTTATTATGAGGGAGTAGAATTCGATGCAGCTAACACTTCATACAACAAGTTTCTCAAAAGTCTCTTCATTACAAATATCAGGAAACAATAAATGGGAGAATGAATGAGCACTACGTATTCCAAACATGAATGAAAAGAAAGCACTGTTTATACCAAATTCTGCTACTTTGGAACAGGTCAAGGCATTATAAAAATACTTAGGTTATAAACTACCAAATACACATGAAATTTAGGAAATCTGAACACAGTATATTCAATAACTCTGAACAGAATTTTCCATTTGATATCAAATTTAGCTATTTACAATACTTAGTGGTATAAAAGTAATAATAATTTTCAAGATGCAATAAAAAATGTTGCTGCTGATAAAGACAAGATACAAGTCTCAGAAGCTAGTCTCCCAAAGCAAATATGCTTTTTAAGCAAGAACTATAAAAGCCTGAGTAGGAAAAATGCGTAGAAATCATGTTTACTCAAAGACATTTGACAGTGATGAACCTCTGCCCATCAGTAAAGTCATCTCGCAGAAAAGTCATTTCTAACACGCAAAAGTAGGATATTCTGAAGACTTCAAGACTGTCACTGCACCAACCATGTCAGCTGGGCCCACCACTTCTCTCTCTCTCTCTCTCTCACTGGCCACTTGGCATAACTGAATTAACAAAGACTTGGCAAGAGATAACTTACCTCCGTGATCCAGATCATTCCGTGCATTCTCTTCATTAGTTTCTTTGGGGAGGCTTTCAGGTTTTGGTAACTCCACAGTCATCTGGCCACTTTGCAGGCGATGCTTCAGTAGTGAAACCTAAATACAATGTTCTCATTAGAAAAACTAAGTAGGGGGTAAGGGCTTATTCAGAAGGTGGGGATAAAATTAACACCTCCTTATGAGGGAGAAAAAAATCCCATCCACAAGCAAACCTCCAGAACAACTTTTCATATCTATAGACAGCTCACCAAATAGCCTTCAATATAATGCAACAAGACAACAAGGGATCATAAAACTGGAAAACATTCAAGACTACATTTCTTCTATTATTCTTCACTCAAAAATGGTAAGGTTTTTACCTGAGTCTGCAGAACACTGATGTACTGGTCCTTCTCCTCTAGGGATGCATCAAACTCTTCCTGGAGATGTTTCTTAGCCTGTTGATCCATCTGAAGCTCCTAAAGAAAAGAGGCCTTTCTAGGTGTATTCAGGATAAAATAAAAACAGTTCCAAACAAGAACCTAAAGAGTTTCACAAATCATACAACATACACAAAGGTCAGTCACTAGATTAGCATTTTTCTGCAATTTGAACTTCTGAATGAATTTTCTGTTTACAACTTCCAGAACTTTGGGTTCTGGAAGACTATGACCTTTGATAGGCCACCAAGAAGCTGCAGAAGCTTTCAGAGGTGGAACCCAGTGACCACCTTCTGGAACAGCTTGTCACCAAAGGAAAGCAAAGCTCATGATCACAAAGCAAAATGTCACGTGATCAATTTTTGTTGTATGGCAGCACATGGAAATTGTTTACTAAGGTGTAAAGAAACTGCAATCTACATCAGAGGAGGGAGGAAAGCAAAGATATCTTGCAATAAGTTTTGAAGACGGTATATTTAAAATTGAGAAAAATAAGCAACAAATAACGAATTTTTAAATAGCATGCATCACACTAATTGTCTGTCACACTTGGTCATACCCGGCATACTCTGGTGACTCTGAATCCCTGTAGGTCATCCTACAAACACATTTCCCATCCCCCACCACCCAATTCCTTATTCCCATCCCCCCCCTCCCACCCTCCAACCCCAAATCCTAACCAAACATTACCCACTCCTTCCACTGTGCCCCTTGGAATGCCTGTTCCATGGAGAAGAACCTGCCTTCATCTTAAATCTTTCTCTAGTCAAGGAGGGGGAGTTAGAATATTCCTTGCTCTCTACTGCTAATTCCAGGCTCTCTCTCTATCACCATCACTTGATAACCTTTCCCCTTTGGGTTCATAAGATCAACATCTTTGACCCAATCAAAATCCTGTTAGCATTACGCTGTCTACCGAGTTCCAGGACATTCTCCTTCCATCCTCTACAAGTCTGCTACATGGCTCGTAATCTCTCTCCTACTCAACTCCTGCCCTCAAACTAGGGGACATCAACATATATGCTGACACTCCCTCAAACCTCCTAACTGCTCAGTTCCTTAACCTACTCACTTCCCATGACCTGCTTCTCCACCTCACCACGGCCACAGAGATGGCTGTATCCTTGATCTTGCCACTACCCATAAATCTATCACCTCTATGTTCAAGAACTCAGATATCTCGTAGCTTTCCAACTCTCCCTGAGCCTTCCTTTGTCAAACCCGACTCTTCGTCCACACCATGATTTCCAAACCTTCAGTCCCTTGGCTATCTCCCAGGCCATCACTCCTGCATTAGCCACTCTCTCCAACTTGTCCCCATCTTGAACTTTTGGTGAACCAGCTCAACTCCAGACTGTTCTCTTCAGTCCCTGGCCCCCTTATCATTTCACCAATTGCATCTGCCAAGCTTGACCTCTGGATTATCCCCACTATCCAATGCCTTTGCTCCTACAAAAGTGCTGCTGAACAAAGGTAGAGAAAATCACGCAACCATTCTGAATGGGTCCATTGCAAATTTATATTACACAACCTTACTTGGGTGCTCACTGCTTCCAGGGCAATCCTTCTATTCCTCCCTTATCAATCCACTATCCTTATCCCCATAGTGGCTCTTCCCAAACCTTTGCATCCCTCCTCAGACTTTCCCATGCTCTCACCTGAGAACTCTGGTTCCTGTTTTACAGAAAACACTGAGGCCATTCAACGGGAGCTCCCTTTTCTCCCCTCTTCCTCCTGATATCAGTATGATGCCTTCTACTACCTTCCTCCTTCCCCACTATCTCACAACATGTGGTGGCCTAATCCCTCACCAAGGCTAATTCCTTTACCTATTCAAGTGATCCCATTCCATCCTATCTTCTCCAACACACTGCCCCTACTGCCATCTGCATTCTATCACCTATGTTTAGTTTCTCCCTGTATAATGGCTCCTTTCCTGCTGCCTAAAAACATACTCATGTCTCCCATCTTCAAAAAGCTCTCACTTCATCCTTCCATCCCTGCTAATTATAATACATCTCCTCTGCCATAATCTCTTTGAGAAGGCTGCCTATAACAAGTGCCTTCGCTTCCTTCCTCTTACTCTCAATTCCCTATAATCCAGCTTCCAACTTCCTCATTCCACCGAAACTGCTCTCTCCAAAGTAATGATGTTCTCATATTGCCAAATCCATGGCCTTTTCACAATCCTCATTCTCCCTGACCTCTCTAAAACCTTAAACACTGTCAATCACTCTCTCCTCCCTGATACTCTTTTCTCTAGGTTTTCAGGACACTACTCTCTCCGTTCTCCCCCCTACCTCTCTGACCACTCCTTCTCAGTTTCCTTTAATGGATCATCCTCCAGGGCACACTCATTAAATATGGGCGTCGCATGAAACTCTGTCTTAGGCTCTCTTCTCTTCTTCTTGGATACAACTTTACTTGGTGATCATAATAGCGCCCATGGACTCAATTATCATTTCTAAGCTGGATTCTCAAGTCTCTTTATGCAGCCCTACCTTCTCTGTTGATCCCCAATCTTTTATACTTAACTGTCTGCTAGACATGTTGAACTAGATGTCCAACAGACAGCTTAAACGCAACATATCCAAAATCAAACTTATTATCTTTTCCCATAAACTATGGCCCAATTCCTAAGTTGCCTATTACTATAGAGAGCAACACCATCCTCCCATTCTCCCCAGGTTCAAAAACTAAGTATCATCCTCAATTCCTCACTATCTCTCACCCCCCATATGTAAAATGATGCCAAGTCCTATAGATTTTACCTCTGCAACATCTCTAATATGCCCCCTTCTCTCCTCATAATGCCACCACTCTGTGCAGGCCCTTATCACCTCATCAACAGACAATTACAACTGCCTCCTGGCTGACCCACCTGTCACAAGTCTCTCCCCACTCCAGTCCATTCTCCATTCAGCTGCCAGTGATATTCCTAAAGCACAGGTTTCTTCCATACTCAATAAATTCTAATGGTTTCCATCCTAAGTAGAGATCCCATGGGGCCAGAGCCTAGCCGCCACTGACCTCATCGCATTTCCTCTCTACTCTGCTCTCTTCAGTATCACTGCCCAAATGGAGGCCTTAATGGAAAAGGATATGAGCTCCCTCTGTTCCTCAGAACTTCCTCTTCACATGTGAATAAAAGGCAGATAAGAATGACCATTTTAAGGTAGTTGACAAAAATGATCATCAGATGTCATTGAGAAGTGAGAGTCTGGGGTGTGGTACAAAGGATAAATTGTATACTGCTGAAGTGGAAGCAATTAACTATGAAGAAAAACTAGTTATAGTTACAGTGATATCTGTGAAAATGTCTACGCAGTCTTACAATTTCTCCAGGTGGCTCAGAGATTATACTATCAGTAATTGGTGGCTGAAAAGTGTGATTCGGGGCCTGCACATGTTAGTGGCACCAGAGAAAGGTGAAGAATCAGATGTAAAAGAGAAAGATGATATGAAACTCTCAAATATGTCTGGCAAACAATCTGTTCCTGGAGTTTGTAGTAAGGTTCTACAGAAAAAGGTAAAACTAAGGATGAGAATTATGATGATGATGATGATAACTTTGAAGATGAGAAAAATGAAGAAAAGGTGATACTGCAGCAAAAAAGGGGGGGAAATGAAGAAAAAACAAACCAGAATGGAAAATATTCAAAAACGATACAAAAGGTCAAGAGTCTTTCAAAAAGTAAAATGCATGACAAGCCTCCTAAAGGACCCACTTCTATAGAAAATATTAAGTAAAAATGTAGGCACACATTTTTTGAAACGGAAAGAGTGGTCACCAACTTCACAGAGAATTGCTTCTAGATATTTGATCAAGAGGCTAATTTAGATGGCGCAGTGGATAGAGTACCGGCCCTGAAGTCAGGAGGATGTGAGTTCAATCTGGCCTCAGACACATAACACTTACTAGCTGTGTGACTCTGGGCAAGTCACTTAACCCCAGTTGCCTCACGAAAAAAAAAAAAAGAAGCTAGTGAAGATCTCTGTCTATGGGAGAAATATCTTGAAGAAAAGTTTGTTCCCATTGTCCTTCTTATTCCTGTAACAGTTGCTATCTGGCTGTCCTTTACACTGAGAACTTTCCCTGCCACGTCCGTTCGATGTTGTCCACACCAAGAATGTGCTGTCCAAACAGTTTTCTAAAGTCTAACTCTATTCTTCACTTCCTTTAAGTATGTATGGAATGGTACAAGAGAACAGTCGCGATGGTGCTCAGACAAATGGAAATGGTGAGGAGACAAAGCATAAACTGGAAATAAACTCAATACATGAATAAAGTTAAAAAGAAAAAGCAGCATCTATGAGCAGTTACTGGGGGGCCTTGGTAAGTGAGCCTGTTGGGCTAGGGTCTGCCTCTCTTGGTTCTACTACAGGGCTTGCACAACCCTCTTGGGGAGACTTCTGTATCGGTCCTTGGGAAAGGGGACTTGAGAGTATAAAGTGACATCACTGCCATTATTCCGCGGAGTGTATGTTTCTTTAATACCATGCAGAACAATCAAACCTGCTCAACAGTAGCATCACTGTTTTCATTGTAAGCAAAATTGAAAGTCACCAAGTTTAACCAATTGGGAAAAGAGTGTTGTAATGGACAATTTCTAAAGTTATCTGCAAAGCTACAGGTCTACCTCTCCAAAGGCCTCACGATGGACAACACTATCCACGCCCAAAGAAAGAGCGATGGAGTTGGAATGCAGATCGAAGCAGACTATTGGCTCTTTTTGTTCTTCTGTTGTGTTTTGTTTCCTCTTTCTGGTGGTTCCTCCTTACAACATCACTAATGTGACAATATGTTTAATAGGAATGTATATATAGAACCTATATCAGACTGCACACCATCTTGTGGAGGGAGAGAGGGAGGAGAAAAATTTAAAACTCAAAAGCTCATGGAAGTGATTGTTGATAAATCAAAATGAATTAATAAAAAAAGATTAAAAAAAGAATTACAAGTCTACGAAACTATCATTCTGAAGTCTTCTTTAAAAACATACATAATTACGTGTATATTCCCATTATTTCTTATTCCA